AAATTCAGGGTTAAAGCTGTATCTCGCTTTCATAAACTGACCGTGAAAATAACTAACATTGGCAACTACTTCCCACATTAATCCTGCGTGAACAGCCTGCCTGGTTCACTGATCAAGCCGAAGATTGCCCCTCCAATACCCATTCACTACAAACTCAGTCCAGATTTTGCTAATTGTGAGCTTTCTGTTTCAAACATTGCCATCTTGTGGAAGCTGCCTGGAAGGACTGATGAGACACCAGCATCTGGGAGCCCTGGCACTGCTCATTCCCAGACCCTGGACATCCCAGCCACACAGTGCTGAGGCCCAGTTGGTCATGCTGCACACACCCTACTGCATCCCTCTCTAAAGACGTTTGCAGCTGTCAGCAATAGAGCTGAGAAACTCTGAATCCTACAGGAGAGGGCTGGAACAGGTCCCTGACATAGTGGATAGCAAGTTGTGTATGCCTTATCCCCAGCTCTGAGACACTGAAACCCTGAATCTTGATCTCAGGTGGTTAAATAAAACCTGAACCAAAGTATCTCATGCTACATCATTTCTGCTAACAAGTCCACTGATAATGCTTTATAATGCAATTGAGCTGTAGAAATTCAAGGTCAAAACTAAATAAGCCCTGGGTTAATCCTTTGGAGGAACAGAAAATCAGATCCTCAAATGGTATAAACTGGCAGAAACCCAGACTTGAGTTTTGTGAATTTGCACCAGCTGAAGATTTTGCCCATACCTGCCCTTCTGCACAGCCTGGTAGTCATGTAACATTATTCTTTTAAAAATTAAAAATTCTGAATTAAATGACAGGAGAAGTATCTCACCTGTGGAATCAATGAATGGCTAAACAAGCATATGACAAAACAATGGCATGGCATGGAAACAACTCTAAGTAATGGAACAGTAATCAGCAAAGATGATTACCTGTGGCTTATTGACTCTGCGTGTAAGTCTGGGAGGTGGCTGTGTTGTGACAGTAGAGGAAGAGAGGGCAGAGGAAGAGAATGGAGCAGATGAAGAGAATGCTTTTGAGTCTGCAGTCTTTTGAAGAAAAGAAAATTTGGTCAGCTTGGCACACACTCTCTTATCACAATCACTGCTAGTGATAAGAGCATCTACTGTCCAGTAAATCTGATGCACACACAGCAAACGTAACTTCATGCAAGGGCAAGTGCAGTTTCCAGTTGGTTTGTCTGAGCTGACCACCTCATTCTGTTTTAAACATGCAGGTTACGCCTCTAAAAAATGCTACTAAGAATACATCTAGATGGTAAACAGCACAGTCTTTATACAGCTTTCGATACACTTCTGGTTATGATTCAAGCAGAAATCAAACAATTTATCTCAAGATTTCCCAGTGTGAAATGTGTCATCTTAGAAACCCTAGTTCCTCATAATTTAATGTTGCCTAGATGGGATATGTCATGGAGGCTATCACAGTACACCCAAGACAGTATTTATAATGCTATGGTTTTGAGCTCTATAAACTTCCACCCTTATACAAGGTAGCACGGGGGTGCTGTAATTTATTTGGGCTGGCTGTGGCCCACAATGGACCCCAAGTCAACTGAGAACTGCAAAGTAAGGCAGATCTCCTGTATCAAGACTGGGAGCAAAAGATATGTTGTAGAAGCTACTGAAGGGTTCCTCTATGTTCCCTCTCATTGTAACATACAGCTACATATAACTAAAAACTCTTGGGGAAAAGTATCACTAGGTCTAATTTTCATTTGTGACTAGACTCTTTCACATCATTTTGGAAATGCAAAGGTAATAAATTACCTTTAAATTGCAATGAACAGATAACAATCAAGCCTCCCTGACAGTCATGCACATCTCAGACTAAGGTTCACTAAACCACAGGTTTCTGGATCCACAGGGACAGCTTTTGTGATTCTAGAAGCCAGGTTGATGTTTACAAGGCTTTTCAGTCCTTAGCTTTAGGAGGAACAAATAAATCCTATAACCAAAGATGATCCATTGCACACTGGAAAATCTCTGAATAGCAAGGAATTGCCTGTATTCTACATAGTGAGGTATATGGGCATGAGGCCTGTGTGATACTTTCACCTGACACGTCTGGTAATAGCCACTATCTGGGACAATCATTAGACGTGACCAACTGAGTCAGTCCTGTGTTATTATCTATTCTAAAATAATTTTCACTACACTCATCATGAGCCCTCTTCTAAAACTTTTTGATTGCTATCCAGTCGATGCCACTGGTGACCCCTGGAAGAAGGTCTTGGGATCATGAAAATGACACGTGGCAGCCACTGGTTCTGCCTGGCCAGCAGAGCAGCACAAACCTCAACACATCAGTTAAAATCAGCAATTCAGAGCAACACACACACATGCAGGAGAAGTACCTTCTTTTCCCCGCTTTGAAACTTTCCCAGATCACCTTTCCTCATGTGTCTTTTCTCTGTTTTACCTCCCTGCACAATAGCCATTAGCTCCTGACACAACTGGTTGTCCTCAGAGGAACCCACAGGTCTCTTTCCTGGGCTCACACGCATGTCTAGTTGGGACGGTTTCAGGCAGCGCTCAACAGAGATCTTGGAAACAGCATGAGCACCCTGTTCGGGGTTGCTGCTGCCCTCTCTAGTCTTTTGGAGCCAGGCTTGGCTGCCAGTGGTGTCATGCTGCTCTGCGAGGACACTTTCAGGGCTCTCCACTGCCCAGCAAGGGGAGTTAAAGTAGCTCACACTGGGAGAAGGGGAGCCAACAAACTTTTCTTCGCTTTGCAGAGTGGTCTGATAGAAACCGTGAGTGGAGGACTGAGGTCTAGATGAGTAAGAGGGCAATGGGGATTTAATGGACCTGGGAGTCGAGGAGCCAGAGAGATGAGAATGGTGGAGGCTGACTGTGGGGGAAGGACTGGCTGCAGCAGAAGGCGAGAGATAGTCAGTGTGAGAGAGGGAGGCTTCAGGCGGAGGAGGCAATGGAGGAGTTATGGCAGGAGTGGTGCTAGGAGACACTCCCACGGTCAGAGCAATCCACTCAGATGTGACTGCCTGCACCTCTGGAGACAAGGCGCGGCGCACGAAAGGCAAAGGCGGAGGAGTTGGTGTATGGAGCAGCTCAGAGCTGGGAGACTTGAAGGAGACAAAAGCAGGAGAGAAAAAGAAAGAAATGAACAAAAAAATAATAAAGGAAGATTCAAAACGACCGAGCAAAAGTAAAAGGAAAGAGAGTGAGTGTGGAGAGGAGCAGATCTGTGACCAAGCATGGTGCATAAGTTTTTCATGGACAGGTGTTGGAGAACGTGCTGTCAGCTACTCCAACCAGGGAGTCCAGTCTATATCTGTGCTGCTAATACCCTTCTCCAGCCTTTGCCAGGATCCCAGACACAAAATGTGTTGTGGAATTCCTCAGACTCCATACCTTATGCCCCAAGTCCTTTAGGGAGCAGTTGAAGCCACCATCCACGATGGCAGCATGGATCAGTTGACTGGCCTGGCATTAATAGCTGGGGCTCCAGCAACTCACACTGTGGACCCAGTCAGAATTCACTGCTGCAATTAATTTTAACTTTACCCAAAGTCAATTGCATGAGCAATGACTACTCCTCAAGAAACTTGGATTACTGAAGCTGTGGAGGAGAAAGGGATCAAAAAAGCCAGCTTTGGCTATTGGTATTGAGGTGATTAAAGTAGATCCTCTGTTTATAAAGGCAGAACACATAATCAAGTCAACCCTTAGCTATTACCACCAGTGACATCAGTGAGATCAGCTACATTAGCACTGATCAGAGCATTTCTCAGTTCTCTGCCAAGTTAAGCAAAAAGTAAAGGAGAGAACTGATTTACCAGGGGAGGAATCAAAAAATAGCAAAGGAAACCAAAAAAAGGGTGGATACAATCCCTTGCATCAAAGGTAGAAGCTTGCAGACAGCTGGTGGCAGACAGGCCACAGCTATGCAGAGACTGCTAAGCTCAAACAGAAAAGCTCATTTGAGGTCCACTTTGACAGGGAACTCCAAACAAGCAAGAAGACTTTCCTTTTTACACAATGGCTAAGAATAAAAACGTTCCTTTTAGGGAAGATCCAGACAGACACCAGGCATGAGCCATGGCAGCCTTTCCCATCCATTCTGTGCCATATATCTTTTCCTCCCGATCCCAACTCTCCACTTTCGTTCCTTGCAGTCTTGACCTCAGAATGACCTTGCTTCAGTCCCATGGGTGAGAGGGAGATGCACCAGAACCTCATGGCCATGACCCGGACATGTACGCTGACTTTCAAGCATGAGTATTTGCAGGATGAGAGCAAAACTCACGGATTTAGAGACTCACTGCCTCCCTGATACATTTTCCATAGCAAACGTTCTGGGATCCCCATACAATTACCTGCTGCAATTTTGATTTTTGTTTTGAACTGTGGTATGGCTTATAGTGAATCTAATATTCATGGAGGATCCCAGACTGGCCTGCTCTCAAAACCTGAGTTCATTTAGCACCAAGTTCAAATAATAAAAGCTGCTCTCTTGACACTGTCTCCCAAAACCTTGGTCATGAGCTGGAACATACAGTAAGTATACAGCATAATTCAAGCTGACTGGGATCAACATGACGACCCCTACAGACTATAACAGTCTATGATGTCCTTTTAATAGTCATAATAAAAATCAATTCATCACAGTGGAGGTCTGTAAAGTGTAAACACGCACTGAGGAGGAGCTGGATTACCAATTCATTCCATCTCTGGCGGTGAAATTTATTCAGATGGCTGTCAACTGTAGCCCTTTCAACCTGGCCTGAATTCAAGCTACAGATCAAAGATGAAAAGCTGAGTCTCCAAATCCTCAAATGACCTGTTCATTAACCATTCTGGTAAAAGCATCACCTTTTCCTGCAGTTGCAGCATACTGCAGGGAGCACATGGCTTTTACTGTGCAAAACACTAGTCTTAACTACAGCTTTTTTCAGCTATTGCTTCTTGCACAGCAATGGCAACATCCCTCTGTTCTGCAAGGTGCTGTAACTGGCTGCATCTAGTCCAAATACCTGTGGTGAAGCTGTCATGCTGCGGTTAGGGGACAGGGACATTGGTGGGTCAGGATAGTCAATGGCATTCTTGACCACTGGTCGTTTGAGCACCTCTACGTAAGTGACAGGGAAGATGCCTTGGCGACTGGTGCCAGAGATTTTTCCTTCATACCAATTCTCATCCACTCGTCGAATCAATGTGATCCTTTCACCCTATGGAAAGGAACAGGAATATAGTTCCGACTTTAACATATTCCATCATTCCAAAGCAGATTACATTTTTTAATCTTGCTGCAGCTGACTTAAAACAATCAGTGGCTCTTAGCCCCCCCTGTTTCCCAGTTATGTGGTCCTAACCCTAACCTCTGGGTGGGAATGATATTTTTCAGTTCAGTGAAAGAGGAAATGCAGATCTTCTGGTGCTGACTTGAGCTGTCTTCAGACTCAGTTATGCTCATATTTTCAAGACCCTACTTGCTAAAGTCAGTTAAAAAAATGGAAACCAGCAGATTCAGGCTGACCACAAGACTCTCAGGGGTATGACGTATACAGGCAGTATGCACAGGCCTGCAGTTTAAACTACGTCTCTCTACGCTCTCTCCTGTTTTGCTGACAAATGAAGTGACTTCTAGATCCTTAATATAAACAGCAAGTCCCACCTTCATGTATAATTGAAAGAGAAGATAGACAAGATCTAATCTGAGCATCAAAACAGAAAGCTGGTTGAGATGGTGGAATGCTGCTACTTAATCTAAATATGTCTGACTTTGCTCTGAACAGCCATTACACAACCCTTTCTTATCCTGTCACTCTGCAGTCACATCACTTCAATACCACAGAACCTTGCTTGCCTGTGCTCTATGATTTGGCTTGTAGTATGAAGGAAGATGAACCCAGTTTCATTCTTTTCTGTATCACCATTCTCATGTGACTGGAGAAGATCAGACCAGACACACGTCACCAAACATCTAATTTGCCTTGCAGAGCCAGGCTCCCAGCACTTGTGCTCAAAGTATCTTCTCAGCTAGCCCTAAGGAAGCAAGTGGCATTTCTTGATTCAGCCTACCTGCAACACTCTCCTGCAATGTGCTACATAATGACTACAGAGTAAAAACATGGGTGATGAAAAGGAATCCTTCCTGAATATGGAGTTTATCTTATTGAAGATTTAATTTTGAAATTGCAAGTTACTGGTGTTAAACTTCAGCATTTGTCTGGATTCCATTCATCAGCACAACTAAAGTCTTACCTTTCTGAAGGACATTTCAACTTGGGTATCCCCATTGAAGTTGAACTTAGCAATAGCATCTCCATATTCCAATACTTGCAATGGTGATGGCTTTTTGGGCTGAGCCTTCTCAGCTGGTGGGAGGAGCTAAAATGAACAAACAGAATCAATTAAGTCACATACGAAAAGCCCATAAACTGGTTGCTGGCAAAAAGGGAGTGGGCGAAGAGAACATCTGCAAGGACAGCAGCTACCTCTATGTATGATCGTGGGAAGATGCCAACTCTGCCATGGTGTTCGCCTTCATACCAGTTCTGGTCAATCTGCTTGTAAATGTAAACAATATCTCCTTTCTGCAGAGGAAGTTCCCTGTTAACAACACAAGCACTCCATCAGAACTTCACTGGAGAACAGACATGCTTTTCTGTCCAGCAATCCCTAAATACCAAGGTCTGCATCAGCCCGGTTGATATAAATCATGCTCCAGCCAAAGTGGAAGCTATATGTTGAGAATTACCCTGTTCGTGTCATGACACGCAGGGACTCTCTTGCTCTTTGGGCATTCTGTCAAAAAAGCTGGCCTATCAGGGGCCTACTAACCACAAACCCTCCAGCAGTAATGGGGTCAAGCTCAAGCAAAAGATGCCACTGGCTGCTTTTCATGTTGGATATGGTGAGCAGTGCTTAATTCCTGTTTTGAAACACGTCATGTCACAAGTGCCTTCCAAAGAGACACATGATATTAATGGAAGCTAGTTTGCTGATTAGACAAACTCCCTCACATGCTAGTGTTGATCCTGCAACAATTAGACTTCTGGTCAGCCTATGGTTGTGCAATCACTGACCTCACTTCAGCTAACAATAGGGATTTCAATCTACAGTCTTCATTGCTAAAATTATGAATGTCTGCAGTTTAAGGAACTCCCACTGTGGGCAGCTTGTACTAGGCTCATAAACCTACTACTTAGGTCCCCACAGGAAAACAAGCAACCCCACCTTTCCTAACATGATTTTCACAAGCTCTCCTTTACTGCTGTCTGGCACCTGGTATGTTATGCTCAAGCAACACAACAGTTACACCTTACATCTCTGTTTTATTACAGGTGCTGGAGAGATGCTGTGTAAACCTTCACAAATCATCACCTATAGAACATACAACAAAATATTCCCTGAGAAGAAAAACAGCAGGTCCTTCACTGAATTCTGTTGTTCTTTCTTCCCTCCCTAGCAATGTTAAAATGAGAGCTTCTCCAGGCTCATGCAGAGGAAAGGGCCTTCCAGGCCTTCTCTTCACAGCAGCGTTCCTCAAAAAGAACAAGTAGTGCTGTGTGATTCACCTGAGGAACCACAACAGGGCTTGGAGGTACAACAATACCACCAGAAACATCCACTAGTGTATCCACAGATGTCATGGGAGCAGTGACCACTCTGTACCCTTATAGGTCCTGAATCAGGAAAATCCTGAGTCATGCACCCACCTACATGCTTAAAGCTAGGGCATATGTTTAAGTCCCTTGCTGACTTTGGGCTGGGCTTAGCACAGTGAAAAGGATGCTGCTGTTCTGCATATCTGTTTTTCTGAACATAGCAAATCTGTATGGCAGATTTATACAGTGAGCTAATGGCTAACACAGTTCTCCCAGCTCCAATCCAGGGTGTCATGTAGGGGAACCCTTTCCATCTTCAGAACAAGGGCAGTGACAGAACTGCCACTGAAAGGTCTCACCCAGCTGTCCTGCTTACAAGGTGCAAGGAGGGACATCAGCCAGAGTGCTCTCTATGGCTCCACCCATCCTCAGAGCAGAGCACTCACTTGTTCCAGTAAAGAATGCAGGTTTGCCTTAAAAATCACATGGGGTACAGATACATTTCCCTAAAGGTCCTTTAGAGGCTATGACCTGCAAGATTCACACTACTTTTTCCTGCCTTACTATAAACACTTCTGCTTTGAGTTGCTGGAAAGACACTCCCAAAATATGAATCCAATTGAACGACACTTCATAAATGCTGCATCATAAGGGAAAAAAACAGAGGAAGAACACTCAAGGCAATAGTAACAAGCTGTACTCACTTTAGTGTCTGTGCTTTAAAGTCAAACTTGGCTCTAGCAGGTCTCATCTAGAGATCAAAAAAATCAACACATTAACAATTAGGTTTTCAACCCTCTTCTGAGGAAAAGCACCCAAACTCTTCTATAGCTAACATTAGTTTGGGGGAAGAAATTGAATGCGGGTATTCTGCTAAAAGCTTGTGTGCAACTGGTACTACAGTCCAACTATGCTGGATGGGTGTCTCCCACCAGGGCAAAAACTGCCAATTTCTGATATAACAGTAATTAAGAGCTCTACAGAAAATTAATTTAACAGCAGTAAACTTTTAAATGTGACAAACCATGCTGAATGAAAGCTGCTCCAATAACTACAGTTACTGGGGCTCCGGGACCAAATTTCCCTTAATATGTGAATAGAAAAGCAAAATTTACTAGCTAGGAAAAAAAAAGCAGGATTTTTTTTGATGTGGCTTTTATTTATTATCACCTGGCCCTACTGAAACCTGCAATGTGACTCATGTACTCTGTATAAATTGGTAGGAAAGAGACAAAGGTGAGGAGGAAATATGAATAAATTAAGCGCGTGTCTAAAAAACGACTTCCGTGGCTATAAAGTCAAAGAGGATGTTGACAGCAGGCCTATGATTTAAAGCTTGATTTACTTGGCTGATTTTCCAATGGCCACAAAATATTCAGACAAATTTAAAGTAATTTCAGTACTAGAACATAAAATAAGTAGTCACATTCACATGGCACCAGAGCATTTGAAACTACACAAAGGGGACACAAGTGTACTCCATTCCACATGGTGACCATCTCACCCACCACCGAAGTGCAGCACCTCTGGGGAAACAGCCGCTGTCAAGAGTCCCATCAGCCATCCCTAAGGCAGGAAAAAACATTTGGCCAGGACACCTGGACTAGCATCCAACCCTCGGGAAGAGTGCCATGAGCTCATGGGAAAACCATCTACCTCCTCCTTTGCCTCTTTCAGAAAGACAGACCAGGTTGTATGCAGTGAAACATGCTGAGACTTTTTTCTATTGTTTTTAAAGGACATTAAGTATCTTTCAAGAGAATAAACAATCTATTTCTAAATAACCTATGAGACAGTCACATGGCCAGGATCAACAAGACATGAAGTTTCTAAGCATAAGGCACAGACAAGAAGACAATGTAGCAATATGATGCAGAAAGATGTAGAATGCCTTTGATTCACTAAAGTAGCTGATATTTAAAGGCATGCATCACAGGTGTGCACCAGCAATTCTCAGCAGGCATGCTTTAACATATGCAGCTTGGTATAGAGATATCAATTAATTTACCAGGCACAAGAGTCAAAGCAGATCTAAACGAAGCCAGAATGGGAAAGGGGAAGGTGGAAAAAAAAACAAACAACATTCTCTCTAGAGCTAATGTCGGCCTAAAGCACAACATTGTGAGAGGCAAATATTGCTTTGGGTCAAGCAGCAGACTGAGGTAACTAAAACAGACCTCTGACCCAGATTTCCTCTTTGCTGTATCGTCTACATTTAGGAGGTCCCCAAATCGCTCATTAGTGATAAACTGATGGTGCGTTGGAATAACCCCTGTGTGCCTTCTAGCTGCAATATCAGCTTCTTCTTGCTCACGTTTAAGCCGTCTCTGGTCCTCTAAAAGTTTCTGCCATAAAATTGCATAAAATGGGCAGTAAATCATCTAGTTAAAGGCATTCAAAAGTTGCCATAAACGTGACTTAAATAAAATTTCTGAGGTCCCAGCAAGTAGCTAGGATTTTTATAGTTCAACATAAAATACTGATTCTACTAACTACATGATATCTTTTTGTTTTGCAAGCACAGAAGGTAAATCACCATTATGGCATAACTGAAATCCAGCTCATACAAAGGATCTTATTCAAAGCTGATGGAAGTCAGTAAGGAGTTCTTCTAAGTTTTGGCCAGGTCTTGGGAGCTTCTAAGAAGATTACTGATAATACAGAGGCTGATTCAAACCCCCTTCAACCACCAAGGAGTTTCTCTCATTGAATTCCAGGAAACCTGAACCAGCCCCACAGGTAAGCTCTGAGGCACCAAACTCCCCTGAGCTTTGCAAGGAACTTGGGAGACCGCCCAACAACCTTTGGGTATCAGGTTCTCCCATACTTCCTTTGGGCTCACGCAATACAATTTGTAAAATAAATAAACTCCAAAGAATTATTTTGGACTTCTGAAGTCTCTTGCACACTAATGGAAATGTGCATTCTTGAGTACCTGGGCAGAAGGATTCTTCCACCTTTTGGGGCTGATGGTAGGCTGAAAAGTTCAGCTCTGTGTTAAATCATATGAAGCCAGCAGGTCTTAGTGAATTCAGAGTTTTGTTCTTAAACAAATTTTCGTGCTGGGTTTTGAAAATGAGGGGATTACTAACTGTTTCATGAGAGAAGACAGCAAAAATATTTTTTTCACATATGAATTAAAAGCAGGTTTTACCATATTTCAAAGAACACATAAACATTATTTGAACTCGGAAAGTTAACACTAAAAACATAACTTTTTTTTCCCCCAGGCAGTGAAAATTAATTCCAGCTTCCTGGAAAACAATCACTTTTTAACTCAGCTTGAATACAGTCAGTGCTGAAAAGTCTATGTGGCTTTACGACTATTTCAGCTTATCCCAGTGTTGCCCAGCCATTTCAAAACAGACTGCTACATTCTGTCATCAGCAACTTGAGACATTACAAAGAATTCTAGTTTGCATTAGGAGAAAACTTCACATTTCTGATAGCTTAAAATATCTCACATTTGTTGTTCAAAACCTGAGGACTCCCACAAGAAAAATACTATTCTCACCAGTCTGACTAATACTGACTCAAGCGGCTTGCTTGGTGAACAATAAAACCTTAACTCACTTACAGAATAACCATTTTATCTTTATCTACAAGTCCTGGGGCATTGTACCACATTCTCAGATACATCTCCAAATTTTTGACATTCCTTAAAGCCCCCTCATATAATTTTGTGCAATTGATAAGAACTATCAAGTTCATTTTAAACAAAAGCTACACATTATACATTAAATCAGTGACAGAGGCATATTAAACATACTAGTTTCAGATTACTGCTCTAACTTCCAGTATACATAGCCATGGATGTACAAGTTGTCCTTAGATAAAGCTGAATGCTGTATTTCTTGTATGTGCAGCTGCTATAACTGTTATTAGACCACAAAGGAGGGCATTACCTCTTTATCATCATGCCGTCTGCGGATGATTTCTTCTGGAGTTTCCATATAATCAACTTGTGCAAAATGCCTTGGTGATTCTGAATCTACTTCAAAACAACATAAGGAAGTTAAAATACAAATGGACTTACCTAGCATAACCAGAAAGGAAAAAAAATTATATTTTTAAATAATTTTTTTTCATTATGACAGTAAGGATTCTCAATCGCCATTGACCAAATTGCCAATCAAATGTTGATAATTTATCCATTTTCATTTTTTTCCCTTTTGGACTGTACTTGTGAACAAAGATTCAAAACCAGGAAGAAAATAACAGGGGAGAGTGTAAAGACATAGAAAGACTTTGGGAAGAAAAAATTCTCTGCCATTGAAGTATGATTTGGCATTTTACTGTTGAGAAAATTTTAATACACACACACACGCACACACACATACAACTAGACCTTGAGAAACTGCTCCTTAAAGCAAATTATATGGGTTTGTTTTATATTCTCATGTGTGCAAATGATACAGGACTAGAAATATCTCATGTTGAGATTCTTGCATCCCTGAAGTTGCTTGAGACAAACTGAACCCGATGTGATTAGAAAGGCAGCGGAAATCGTTTCTCAGAAGTGCAGCTGTTAACAAGTCCTGAACAAAAATGCTCAGCAAGACACGCAAAGGACATTAGACACACTAGGGGAAAAAAACAGAGAGTGTCAAGGGATGCAAAGGTGGGGAGTAAAAATGCGAGAGTTGTGGAAGAAAAGAGGAGGAGAAAGGAAGCAAAAAGACAGATGAAGGAACATTGGTAAAGAACACAAAAAGCCACCTCCTAGGTACGTCCCAAGTTCACTTTGCGGGTTGTTGTTTGTGTCCAGGCTGTGACAGAGGGCATATGGAACAGGGTTCCCATTGCTTAAGGAGTCAGGAGTGCCAGCCTGGCTCATGAAGCTATCTTGGCTAGATCCCATGGTGGGGAAGTAGCCAAGCCTCTCCACAATGTCAAAGGAAGACAGGCGCCTGGGGGCTAGAGGCCTGCTTCTGGAGCACAGTTGGTGCTGTGAGTGGTGACTCTTGTCTCCTACACTCCCCAGCAGCTGTATGGGGTCGTCTGAGTTCTCAGGGCTGGGCACTGCCGGGCTTCCCAGGCAGTCTGGGGGTGGAGTCCTGCAGGATTTGTGTTGGAAGGGCTTTTTCAATCGGAAGGGGAGTGGGCTCATTAAGTAGACATTTCTGGGGAGGACATGTCTGTCCCCATAGACATCCACTTTAGATTCAGGGTTCCTGGAGGCCTGCTGCTGCTCATGCCTTCGGATGGTAGTGAACCTGGTATAGGAAGCTGGGCAAGCGCCTTTGCATCTGTTGATTTTATGCTTCTGAGGCCCATTGAAGTTGCTGCTGCTGCTGCCACTGTCATTGGATGCATTTGACAGGAGATCTATCTCATCTGTGCAAGTTGAAAGTATGTCCATAGGGATGGCATCACTGAGATCTGAAGTTGTGTCCTCCACGTTGCTGCAGGAATGGGAGGATTTATCTGCCAGACTGGCAGCATCCTTCTCTTCTTGGTGTGCTTTTGACAAATCCAGAAGAAACTCTGCAGAGTAGGCAGAACTCAAACAAGTCTTAGACTGGAGAGAAGTGGTGAATTTGCTTTGTCCAGTGGAAAAGTCAAGCAAGGGCATTGATCGGGATCTCTGGATCAGCTGCTCAAAGGCACTGATACGGGAGGAAACGGTGTGTTTGGGGATCTGCTCTGAATCCTCTCGACTAAGGCTGTGCTCCATCCTGTCCTTTGCTTCATTCTCAAACTGAGATGCAATATCCCTCACACTGCAGGAGGAGACTGTGCCCAAATGGATCCTAGACCGGTTGATCTGGTGCATGTCTTTATACAGCATTGTAAACTCCATCCCACTCTTCCTGGAGGCAGGGAACAAGTAGCCTTTCCTAGAGTTGGTGCCATACTCCTGCAGGCTCATAGTACTGCCGGATTTGATAGCATACTCCTGCTTTGACTTCATCAACATGTTTTCTATGCTTTCCCCTATGTCTACCATGAAAGCTTTTTTATCGAACAAGGCAATGGAGCTACGAAGGTTTTCGCAGCTTTGAGCTTTCTCATGAGACAGCAATATACCCTTCTTGTCCTGCACAAGAGCATCTGGAGCTGCTAGTCTGGGTTTGAATTTAGAAGGAAGGATTTCAGTAATGCAGGCTTTTGCAGCTGATAAGGGCTTCTTATGTTTACATGTGTGACCTAACATACCGGTATGACTAGCGTTAAAGGTTCGGCTATTAACTGAAGAGGGTGCAGTCATATGAGCATTCCCACCTTTACGATCCACTGGTAAGCATGCAGAATAAAATAAATACAACCTGTTAGCTTAAGTGCTAGAAAGCTATTGAGAAAGGAGAAAGAACATGCTTGGATTTCATAAAATGCACTTTAAAGAAACAAAGTTCTAAAACATAAAGAAAAGCAGGAAGAAACTGCACAACAAGCTGCACTTACAGCAGTAGGTGAAGTGCTGCTAACATCTCTAAAATGAAAGGCTTGGCCAGAGGCAAATCTGGAGCACTTTGGAGGTACCCTCCTCAAAAGTGCTAAGCATCATTAGCTTCCAGTGAAGCTATGGCACCATGGAAAAGGGCAGCTGAAGTCTGGGCAGGAGCAGGGTGTCAGCAAGAATGCAGAGACACTAACATTTCAGAAATGGCTTAATACCAAGCCTGTAATCACACCTACTATGGTCTCACTACAGTGCTTGCCAAACAGCTTATTCCTGGGAGGGAGAAGACAATCGGTGGCTAACTGTGTTAGAATAAGCAGGCCACATCAGCTTGCCTTGCCCAAAAACTGCCTGCTTAGAGATTCCCCATAATAGGAATAAGCTGAGTGTCCTTCAGACAATGTGGTTGGCCATGTTTGCTTTAAAAATCAAGGAGTCAGATCAGGACATTTTTTTTTTTAACAGTCAGATCCAGCCTGGGTTCAGCTTAGACTGCAGTTTTTAGGTCTGTTTCCCATTTGAGTTCAAACTCAAATGTCAGAATAACCATTCAGGTTCAATTGCAGTTTAGGGAACAATAACTGTTTGAACAGATTTTTTTGTTCAGATCCAGTTTGACTCCTGCTCCACAGGCCTGACATAATGTTGAAAAACAGCTGGAAGACTGAGAGAACATTTTGGTTTGATGTACTATTTTTAGGGAGAGCAGTTCAGAAACCAAACACATTCCTTCCCCAGTCCTCTCCCCATCTCAAGCCATTTTTAGGTTGAAGTTGGCTCAGAGATACATTCCCCAACACATTTCTCTGATGGGAGTCAGGCTTTTCCTTGTCCTAACCGCCTACAGAGTCCATGATGGGGGGAGGAAAGGGAAGGAGATGCAGTGGTCTCTGCTGCCCCTTGTCTCAGAGCCTGCAGAGCATTCATTGTTGGTTCATGATGCCCCATGCATTGTCTGCACACCCTTTGCAGGCAGGAGGCTGCGGAGCACACGGTGCCAGCTACACCAGGGTCATCAGGCCAGCAGGCATGGTGTGGCCTGCTGAGATACCACAGCAGGAAGAGCAGAAAAGGCAGGGAAGGCTCAAGCTTGGCAAGGCAGTGGGAGCAGATGGATAGCAATGTCAGCCTGAGCAGCCTCCAGGAAGAACACAAGGGCATGGGGTCTAGCTGAGGGGCTGGATGGAGGGAGCTGGCCCCTCTTGGGAAGAGAAACCTGGATCAGATAAAGGGGTCATGGAGAGTATTGGTCAATGTGGGCAGAGTTAAAAAAAGGAGGGAAAACTGGGGATTGCAAAGAGGAAGGACAGAGGAAACCTCAACTGGCTTGAATAGGACTCTAAACCTTGCAGCAGTTTACCCCATATCACCTGACTTTTTGACAGTCTATGCAAAATGGAGGTTAGTGCCCTGACCACCTACCTTTTGTGGAAGCAGAGCTAGACGGTCGCTTGAGACCACTCAGCCCCTGGAACGGGATATCTCCACCTTCCAGTACACTCTTGTAAATCTGCCTTTCATTCTCCAAGCCAGCAGGGTCCCCCAGTGCTATTTCTGACTCCCTCTTCACTGCATGGTTAGGTGAATATGTGGAGCTGGAAAACATAAAAAAGGGGGAGGGACACCGGTGGGTCACTTCTGTTCGCTGAGAGCTTCATGCAGAGTAAGAAAAAACCACACTTGTGAATTCAGAATAGACTGTGTATGAAGAACTGGTGATGAATGAAGACGCTATGAATACATGGCAATACTGTTCCAGGGTTTGGCATTACCATAGCATTCTCCACCTGAGGAAACTCTCCCAGCTCTGTACCCCCAAAAAACAGACAGCAGGAAGGCACTCCTCCTTTATTTTACAGATGAGACAACAGAGTCACTGAGCAGATGCATGATTTCTTTGCAGACACAAAGAAATTAATTGGCTAGCTAGAAGTAGCACAAATATCTTCCAGCTCCCAGTCCTCTCTCCTTAAACACTAGCCATGCCTGTCCCCTGCTTACAAAGCACAGCTGCTCAGAAGTTCATAATCAGTTCAGCCTCCCAGTTAACAATATAGTTCAAGACTCCCAGAGCAATTTCTCAGTTTTCTACCATGCAGATATATAAACAAAATTCTGTTAAAATGAGTACAATTTTAATTTCTTAGGTTTTTAAAGACTGGACATTTATTACAAATATCTTCTCAGTCATGAATCTAAGCACAAGTATGACCTCACATCTGATTTCTAGATTTCACACTTTTCTCTCTAAAAAAATAACCAACAATGCCATGGTATAAATGGCCTTTCCAGGTATAAAAGACTTACTGAGCAATCAGGCAGAGATGTTTTCCTAAAATTTAAGCTAATCTGATACCAGTTCTTGTGCTCAACCAGGCTCTTCAGAATAAAAGGGAGTCTCACACAAAGCTATTCTGGGGCCAAAGCATGACTGCTGGAAGGTTTGACAAAGTTAAAAAATAGGGCATTTGCCAATTCATGGAAACATTTCAAAAGCTGGCTTACATCCTGATGTCTAGGAGGGATTCAAATTTATGTGAGTATGGAAATGCTTGTGGTTACGCCTGCTAGTTGGGGATAAATTTGTACATGCATCTGTTTATTTTGGATAGATGCTGTACTTATGGGGTAAAGAGAAAGCTTTCAAACATATCAGAGGACTGGCTACGGAGGTGGAATTACACAATGTCTGGATCACAAAGATTATTTTAGTTTCCGAACAACGAAAACCAGGTCATATGCAGTCCCATAAATTACTTTATGGAATAAAAGCTTGCAAAGAGCACCACAACAGAGAAATGGAATACTATCAGTTTTCAGTCTAGGCAATGCTCAAACAGACCCATAGCTACAGAGTTGTTGTGTCTTATGCGGGTTATCCCAGTGCCTCTTTTATCAGGTTCCCAAGAAGCCCTGCCAGTTGCTGCAGGGAATAATGACTGCCCTGGAGTTCCTCAACTGGAAGGCAAAAGCATTTTAGCCTAGTTGTTAAAAACCAAAGGGTTAAAATGATCCTCTCTTGGGAATACACCTGAGGGAGAAAGAGGAGGCATTTGGCAGAGCCCCTTTGTCTGTTGCTCCCTTATTAGGGCCAGCAAGCAGTCTGCAAGATCAGAGTCAGGTGAATGGAGGGAAGAGTAACACTGCAAAAAAGACCATAAACTCCAGGTATCTTTTCTCCCTGCTCTCTAAAGGCAGGACAGGGAAGAATGTGCAACTCCACTGGGCCTTGCTGTTGCGTCCCATTCCCAGCCTACTCAGGTTGCTTCCCCTCTGCTGGCTCAGACACTGTCACTCCTGCATACTTTGGGTGGCATCAGAATGGGCACAGACAGTGCTGCCATGGGCAGAAACCTTACCAGTCTTTGGTAAACATAAGATATTTATGCTAATCTCTGAGATTTCTGTTGATCTTACTGGTCTCCTTACCAAAACAAAACTAAACAGTCATAGCAACAACCAACAAAATGCAGCAGTGTGCAAGTTTCTCAGCAGAATGAACACAGACAGAAGGGAACTGAGTTGAAGGAAGTCCAGAGATGTCTAAGGCAGCCCCTGAGGGGTGGTGAACACACGTGACATTAATGGGCGTCTGAAGAACATGCCTTTCCTAACAAATCATCCAAGCAGAGGGGATCACTGTGCCTATGTTGAGCACTCTGTCCAATTACAAGGAGCAGCAGGTTTGCAGTAGGAGCTGGCTCCATAGCTCGAGTAACTCAATACAGCTCAGCAGCTTACTCTGGATTGTGGTTTTGTGTTCCTCTTTTAAAACAAACCAGTTCCAAGTACAACTTATTTAGACAGAGTATACAGTTTATTATGTATTCCTCTGTAAAAGCAGTGCCATATTAGGTCTTTGACAAATATCCTTACTCCTTCCTACCACTGTTCCCCTTCCTGGAAGCTGGAAAATTCTTGCCTTCCATCAACAGAATCCTTCTGATCTGATGCACATAATTGAGAATATCTAAAAGGAGCCAATCTATCATTCTTGTCTAACAGAAACAAACTTCGTTTTTTCTGTGCAAGAAGGATACTTGCATGAAGTTACAGTCAATTTCAAACTTCATCAAGATGGAGTTAAAGGTCTGGGCTTTGGAAGATTTTTTTAAAAGTCACTGCCTAGCACAATCAGCAATTTTTATCTAGACAGTGCAATCACTCATGTAATAACTTCAAAACTAATTCAAGATCAAAGAGCAGATATTGTACCTGCACTCACCTAAAGCATATATATAATGTTCATAGTACATGCATTTGTCTGTATCCATCACCAAAAAATAAAGCCAACGCACTTCCAACGCCTAAAACCCTGTCCTACATGCCCCCAGATTATAAAAGAGGCATCAAAAAGCAATTGAAAAACTTACTAGGAAGAATGGTCTGTGGAAGTTTCCAGAGGAGTAACACCTGCTGTATTCTGCAAAAGTCCAAACAAAGAAGTCATTGATACACACATGTGAAGAGAAAGAAAAAGGCTTAAGTAATTTTCCACCTATTCTAGAAGACATTGAGGTTTAAGTATAAATAAAATTTAAGGTGTCAATGTCTTTGCAGAAAAGTAACAATTTTCCCGAGTTCCTTCAGGGCAGTGACAGGTTTTTGCACAGCCGATGCCTTTTTGCAGCGCCTATTCTTTTGTCTGCAAATGAGTCATTGTAAATAAAGCCAAAAGCAAGAAGAGATAACCAGCTGGGCCATGACCAGGAGACACATGCTCATAATTATTTCCCCAAGCTTTTTCCCCAACCAGTCACTGCCCGCCTTTGCTTTAAAGGTACATTTCTGCAGCACAATACATTCCTCAGCGTTCAAAAAAATATCAAAGCACTAACAACAAAAGCAATGTTTCAGTTCAGTTTCTTACTTAAGAGAAGCAATGCCAGCTGCACAGGTTCAATAGCAAAAGCCAGTTCTTATCCGCTTGCTTTAAATCCATCTAACACTTCCTAGGCACATTATTTCAAAAATTGAAGGCAATTTTAGAAGAAATGCTCTATTTGGTGTCCCCTCATCTATGTGAGGATTCCTATGTAGGAAGAAAAAGCAAATCTCGGGTTTGAAAAAACAGCTTTTTCAAGTCCTGGTGAAATGCCGCAGCCTCAAAAAAAAAAAAAAAAAAAAAAAAAAAAAAAAAAAAAAAATCAACAACAGAAAAAAAAATTAGAAAAAATGGCATGTTACCAAATTAATCTATCATTTCATGGTTCGAGTCCTGCAGACCCTCGAAACAGCAGCAGCAGCTGACCTGCCCTAGAAGGCCATGGCAAGGTGCAGCACAAAGAAAATTGTGTAAAATCTCTTGGGAATATCCAAATCTTGGGTAGGCGTTAGCTCCTAGCAGAGAGCAAGGCTTGTATGAAGGGAGGGTAGATGGCAACACGCTTGAAAGGCACGAGATGATGACGTGATGCCAAGCAAGAATTTTAAGCTGATTGCTGCTGCCTATTCATGTGAAAAATAGAGAGGGATTTTTGCAGACACTGAACTTAAAACCCGAAAGAGGGACTGGGGTGGGGGACAGCTGAAAGGGATTGGGGGAAGAGGAAATCACTGTATATGAAATGGATTTCAAGTCGGATTCTCAGCATCATGTTCTATTATTTCTGACAGCGACACAGCAAGCCATGCAGTCAGAACGGTCAGAACCATTATTTATCCCAACCTCATTTAATAATCATCCAGCAGTGAATAGATTAGAGCAGAGAGTTTGGAAACAGGGATTGGCAGCATGAAAAGAATAGGAAATACCTTCTGTGGCTTTTTATGTGGCGCTTTATAAAGCTTCTCCATTTTTTCTAAATCTGCCTCTAACTCAGTCTGGTAGAGGTAGAGGTCTTTTTCTAGATCAGTCTGGTTAAAGAAGGAGAAGAAGAATGGGAAAATAATGCTTAGGGTTAGGGGGAACCAAAGGAATGTTAATTTTGAAAAAAAAAAAAAAGTGAGTCTTTTTAATCAAAAAAAGACAAAGATGGTATGGATAATACATAGAAATTCACTAGTAATTAATCATGTTTCAATCATTACAAAGGAAATAGTTTTAGGCATTTAACATCCAAAATTAAGAGATGCACAGGCCTGCTAGAATCTAATTCTACAAATCATAAAGTTATATAACCCACCTGTAAAAAAAAACCCCAAACTGTAACAATATGCAATATGCTGTTAGTATCATTATCACTGCAAGTCAAGATAGCAAAACCACCACTCTAAATTATGGCTGATTATGGTTTAGGAATTGTTTATTAAATCAATTTACTAGCTACTTAATTGTTAGGCTAATGAGCTCAAGCCCAATTAAAAAAAATCACTCACAAGCACACAAAACCCAAGCAATCCTACAAAAAAACCTCTCTAGTAAGGATAGAGCAATCTCCAGGAGTATAATCCCAAATCTTTTTTGGAGGCTGATGGAAAGCAGAGGAAGGAAATGAGGAAATGAAGATAAGGAAAGACATCACAGAGAATATGGAAACTGGATTAGAACAGAGGGGGAATACAATAGGGGTTTTGCATCAACACTGAAAAGAAATTAAAAAAAAACCAACAAACACCACAGAGAAAGAGAGATAGAAAGAGGAATAAATCTGCTATAGCACAAATATCAAGAGATCATGGGAGGCAAAAGGGAGCATACATGCAGTCTGGGAGGGGCTGTTTTCAGTAGTGTTTGAGGAAATTTTAATTTTTGCTGTGTGCTCTAAGGGATTTTGGACTCTGTAGAGGGAGCCCACAGCCGGTGATAAAAGCATTCTTAACACAAAACCAAAACAAAACAAAACGGGGAAAAAACACAGTCATAAAAAGCATTTGTTTTGCTCGTTCTTCTTTTCAAAAAGAAAGGGTAATACAAGGGCCTTTGATAAAGAAAAGGGAGAATCTTTCCCACCCCCGCCAGACTATGAATACATACCATGTGAACAAATGGCTGAATTTCCAGTGGTGGCATTGTGGGGCAATGAGAATGCAGAGTTGTTATTTTTTATTTCACTGGTTTGGGGGTTGGTTTGTGGTGGTTTGTGGTGGAGAGAGTGGGACACATAGAAATTTGAGAACTAGGTATTTAAAATTCATCCTATAAGTGAAGGTGTAGATTTCAAAACAGGATTTTCCTGTTTGGATGCACGTGTAAATATCAGGGAGGATCATTCAAAGTGAAAGACCTTTGTCCTGACACTCCTATCATAATAATGCCATGCCATGCTAATATTCTAATTTCACCAGATATGCTCTTACTTTGTAAAATCAGAATACAGCAGTTGCTGTTTCTAAACAACCTCTGTTGGCTAACAATCTTAGCATCATCCTACATGTCCATACTGACTTCTGTGACTAGATTATTAAAGAATCTCTGAGTCACTGACAGGGAACCTCTGAGTGTCAGTCTATCAAAGGCAAGACTGCGCTACCACACTTGGGTCTTGGTCCAAATTCCTTTCTAGACTGCCTGGATCTGTTGTTTGAATCTGTCCCACTTTACATTTGGACAGACACTGTGTGGGTGCAAACACTAAATACCTGTTTCTTATCCATTATATCAGCAGCTGCAGGGGGGCAAATGGTGTGGGACAGATTTAGGTTTGAGATTTGGAGGGAGGAACTGGAGGAAAGGAGGTGAGAAGGCAGCACATGTGCCCCTTTTTCCAGCCCCCTGCTTCTCCATTTATAGCAAAGAGCTTACTCAGTGCTTTCTTGGGAAGGGCGGGGACAAAGTGCCCACGCGTGTGATCCTGCAATCACAGTGGTAGACAACCGAAGTCTAGACTGACCAAATGTCAAATTTTATGGATGAGCTCCATGGAGCTGTGGAGCCACAGGTCAGAGGGAGAAAGGAGTGAGTATGTGGGGATTCAGTCTCAGCAGCACACTGAAAAGCATCCATATTACAGAGACTGATCTACCCATCTGCAGGGCATGTGCCTGTCCACAGAGCTGCCCAGAAATGCATCTGGGATGCTGGTTCAGCAGGTTGCTTCAGCTGCCCTAGGAAGCACATGTGCTTTCCTCAATGGGGAAAGACCCATCCTGGTCATTCTGGTGTCTTTGGAGAGCAAAACCCACAGACTCACAAGAATCCTGTGCTCCCTCTTACCAAGGGTGTTTCCTGCCCACATCACATACCTGCAAATAAAGTCAGAAAGCCAGGAGAAATCATGCCTGTAGAAGTACACATTATCTCCAGCACTGGAAAAAAAGCTGGGACAAACAGAGAATCTTTAAAAATCCCAGGTGCTAGCAAACATCAGTTAAAACTCTCTGGTTAGGCATGAGGCGTAGCCACTAGCTGATCACAAAAATCTGGTGCTCTCATGACCAGTGAGCAAAGCTCAAAAAGTCTGTGGTAATGAAGCTCAGATGGAGCTTTGCTAGCTATAAAAGTCTGAGATGGCATCCTCAATTCAAGTGCCTAATGCCGAAGCACCGTTTATGGAGTATCACATTCAGGGGCTGGCATAGTTGATCAGGGAGCATGGTTGCATGGCTCTGGAGCTACAGCAAGTTGACATGGGATATCATTCCAAGGCAAGCTGTAAGAAAGCAGCCCTTAATAACAGTGCCTTGAGCAAGGCAGGGGAACTTGTCACCAGAACAGATGCTCTGCTGAGCAAGAGATCGATTACTGGTGTAGCCTGAGATGCCCTCTTCTGAGGTAAGCCAAAGCCACATGACTAAAAGCACAAATGCACACTTCTAAGAAACAGATATACCCTCACTTCTAGAAAGGCCCAAGGGCATAAGTGTTCTCCTTTCTCTGACACATTTTCCATTAACTTACACTAACTGAAAGGATCATAGAGATGACAAATGTTCATTCCTTGGAAGAACAAATGACTATTAACTATATGGCAGCAAAGAGAAGCAGGTTTCTTCTTGTTCTGTGAAAATCTTAAACCATGACAACTGGTAAAGGGTTAAATTCTTATACTGACATCACTATAAAGCCTCAGTGAGGTGGGATTTACCTGACTTCTACTACCTAGAAGTTAACACTGCTGAAGCTCCTTCTTTAGCTTAGGATGGAAGGTCCATGGCTATAAAACATAGTTTTCTATGACAGAACAGACTACCCAGCCACCGTACATGTTTGTCTTTCAGCAAAAATTATACTATTTCCATGATGTGATCAGACCGGGCACCCAACCCAAACAGCTACACTCTGCGCAGAGGAATTCTTGTCACTTCTGTGAGAACAAAGACTAGATTTAAAGAAAACCTGCTCTCTGGTGTCCATGTGCAGTTGCATTTGAAGTCAGTACTGAACCTTAAAACATATTTCTGTTTTGTTGTACATGCAGGGAAATCTCAGCAGCACTCAGAAATAGTGTGCATGGGCATTTGACAACTGACCTCAAGGTGAAAGGAGAAACAACCACTATAGTGAATAACTGTGAGAGGCTGATACTGACCCTCTAGTGCAGTAAGAGTAGCTTCTTAAACAGTATTTAATAATGAAGTTAATAGTGTTTAATCAGTAAGAACCAAGCCATAAAATGCTTTAAAGTCACATTTTTTTCCAGTAGCCATGACCACTGATGTATTCACTTCATCAAAATGTCCTTTGTCCTACTGCACGATTAAGCTTTGCGTCATCTTTTTCCAGAGTGGGGAAATCAAGGCTTTTTTTTTCCCCCCACACACACAGGAACACAGCTCCATTTGTAAAGAAAGCACACTGTTCTCAGACTGCTTTAGTTTCAGGGAATGGCACAGACTATTCAACACAGACTGATGCACCCCATTTAGGCAATGGGGCAGCTACATGCATAAGGAAATGAGCAGGAAACAGGGTCATGATCTATTTATGGATAGCTGGAAATTACTGACCTAGAGTTTACAAGCCAAGGCCAGGAACAAATAAGTGATTCTCCTTGCCTATCAGCCATCCTAGATCTTGTTAGGCAGAGGGAAAATAAGGACTTCCAATAATGAGAATAGGCCATTACTTCTAATATTAACAACAAAAATGCAGTTTGAACTGTGGTGTGTGAAAAAATATTGCCTTGTTGATGCAATATGGTTGGAAGTGGGGAATGTTTGTAAATAGCTTCAGAATGCTTGAAGTGGTCACAGAACAGCTGCTTTACATCAGTATCAGGATGAGGTTATGAACAATCATTTTTAAACAAGTAAGGCAGCTGTTCCAGGTTTAGGACCTAGCAAAGAGATGTGACAACCATTAAAAAAAAAGGCAGGTCGACTTCATTGGTCATCGAACTATCAAACTTACCGGTTTCCCAAACTCCAATTCCGAAAAGAATTTATACCAAGGTTCATTCTTTAAATCTATCTCTTCTGGGCTTATATCCCGAGTCTAAAGGAGTTGGTGATAGGGGAATGGAAGAAAGAGAAGGATAACATTATGCAAAGAATACACGGAAAGGGACTGTTAGAGATGCAGATCCCACGGTTTCCATTCTAAAATGTAGATATTTAGGCCTTATAATTTTGAATTTCTATAGCACCTCTCTCACAAAGGCCATGAACTGCTTTGCAAACGTCATTTAAGCCTAATGGCATCGTTGTGAGCAACATGAATATGAATGAACTGCATTTTACAGATCAGAAGACCCACACAGAGAGAGATTATGCAGCTTGTCCAGCATCAGAGGTAGACTCAGTGGAAGAGCTGGGAGTCAACCAGTCCCTCAGTTCTACTGTCAGACACTTCCATCGAGTCCAAAGCTGCATGTACTTTAAAAAATTTTAAAATCTTCATTTGGTTAAAAAAGAGATTCAGCGAGACCTGAATCAAATACTGCATCTTTAACAGAACATGAATATGTGAGAAACCCTGTTCTATACACTGCAAACAGAGTGAAAGGTGGTTTTCTAAATCAAAGGAGACAAAAGTCAGAGAGAACACATCCCTGAAAGATCTCTGAAGGTACAGAGACACAATATTACTTATTTCTTCACAAATAAATGTTAGAGAATCAGACAAAGCTACAATGAAGGAAAACCAGACAGGACAGAAAACAGTACAGTTGAAAAGGAAATTCCCTTTTGTTCATACAAACTCTTTTAATGAAACAAAAAAAGCTGTAATAGTTGTAGCTGTTTAAAAACACTACTGGTGAGACAAGAGAATAAAGTCCACTACTGAGGATTATGAGGTGCCACTCCCCAAAAGACATCTAGCTAACTCTTGCATTTCAGTGTACCCAGTCTTATACACAATGGATTTCAGAGCACTAAAAATATAAAATACATTATGTCTGATATGCCAGTGTGATCCCAAGTGCTTGATCACAAGCAATGAGCTACACACATGCACAGACAGCCGAAGTGTCCTGATACAAATCCTCCTGTGATGGGGTTACAGAGGCAGGAGGGAGTTCCCAACAGTGCTGGGCTTTGCTTGATGTCCCAGACTTCGACACTAGGCACCACAAGAAAAGCTCTAGGACAAAAACTCAAGACTGATGCTGAAAGAGGGGCAGTGCTTCAGTCTGAAAGATAAATGGTTACATTATGTTTGATCTTCAATGGCCTGGAGAAAGATTTGACTATTTCTTAAAGGCACAATAGAAGCAATGCCTCCATATTTTTCTTTACTGGACTCTAACTAGAAGCACTCATCTTGTTATATAACTGTCTTTACATTAAAAAAAAGCCCACTGACATCAATGGGAGGCTCTTCATTGCTCTGAAATTGTTTTGAATCGGGTTTCTGATCGACAAATCTCCTGCAGCCTCCTTAAAAGATCTAGTTGCTAACCACTGTGTTACTGTTGTATTTAGTTAAACTGATGGAGACCATGGAGCCACTATTTCAAGACCTTCTTTCTTCGGTGATATATGGCTTGAAATTAAAACTCAAAAAATTACACTCAGAGTAACACATCTATCACATTCTTTTTGTCTTTGATGAGCTCTGTATAACTTTTCTCAATTATGCTGATGATATTCCTGCTTGTGGCTTTTAGACTCCGATTCAGCAGCTCAATTAAGTACCTGATGAAGTCTAAACATGTGATGCCGCTGATATGCCACTGGTGATGACAGACCTTTTACAAAGGCTTAAATACACAGATGAAGCAGGCCTTTTGCCACAAGGTTTAATCTTGGCTGTTTACTGTGAGACAAAATTGCCACTTAAGTCAGCAGAAATCTTGTTCCAGGATAGACTGCAGGAGAATGGAGTTATCATACCATGTTCAAACCACTTCTCACTGGCACTTCTCTAATGGGCTGAGCCAATGCCCAGTAGGATCAAGAGAGTCATCCATTGCCCATTTCAGTAGGCACTACGATCATGGTTCTATCAGAAGCAACTTTGTTGAAGTCAATGAAGGGACACAGATGTTAAAAAATGGTGGTTGCAGGATCTTCAAAAAGTGATGGACCTTTATTGCACTTGGAAGGAAAAAAGAAAACCCACCAAAATACTAAGGAGAAACATCAGGTTCCAGATCAGACTTGGTTCTTACGTTTATATTGATTGAAACTGCTGTTCACTCTTGTGTAAAATCTGTGGCAGGTTTTTCAGAAGCATTCCTTTACCTACTGCATGCATGGACTAATGCCTGAGCTGTTAAGGCTCAAAGTCCAGTGTACATTTGGAATCTCACATGCAATAAGCACTTCTAATTGAATCCTTCAAACTAATGTTTATCTAGAACAACAATTACATCTTTATGTACCAAACTGGCTACTCACTAGTAATCTCATTCAGTGTTTTCTAGTGTTTAGAGTGTCACACTTGTACCACTGAAGGACACCTTAAGTGAGCTGTGGTGATTTACACAGGACTGGCTGACGAGGTTAGCACCACCTCTCTGCCCTGTTCCTTGTCAAGTGTTCTCAGCCAAGGCTGCAGAACAAGACTTTTGTATGTCTCCTAGCTGTCACAATTCACAGCATTACTTACAAATTCAAACTGAAATTGGTAACAGCTCACTTAATACTCTAGGTTACACACTGGTGTAGCTGGGGAGCCAGCTCACATTCAGTTCTGCCACCCCTGCCACAGAAGTGGAGGGGAGATGACCATGTCCCAATGTGCCTCAGAGGCATCCCTGAAGGCACATTACAGGCACTCTAAAAATTACTCCTTTGGTGTTTAAAGCATCAGAGGCACATATAAACTGAACCACCCTGCTTTGTTGCATAATGCCTTCAACCCTCCTGCATCAACTAATGCTGTGCCCTAGAAAAATTACAGCTGGCAAAACAGCTGCTAAACAGGTCACAGTGTCAAACATGGATTAAAAACTAGGGTTAGTGATCCATACTTAACACAGAAAACAACACGTCCAAAAGGAAAGAAGTCTCTCAATCCCCCTGGACCTTGCTTTATAGAGAACAAAAATGTTAGGAAGTTATGCAAAACAGTTTTCAAAACAAAATATACAGGAAATACATCACGTGAGCACTGCAATGTAAGCATAAGAATTCCTATCCAAATGAAACTGGTCAAGCACTTGGGGGATATTTTACAATCACAGGATAAAGCCACAAACTAGGATAAAACAAACATTACCATCTTTTCATTGTTCAGAACTGAAGACTTCCCTGGCTGATAATCATAAATGCTCCTGGGCTCAGCACGGTATTTTCTGGTGTCCACCTTCTTGTCTGGAGGCTCCCAGTCAGTCCTGAGGAAAGAAAGATCAATTCATCCAAACCACTGTGGTTTCCATGGAGACAAGAACTTCTTTTTGACAAGTGCCTTTCCCCATTAATCGTAGTTTAATCAGGGAACTTTTTCTAACCTAAGAAAGCAGCCTGCTGCAAAAGAAACAGTTCAGACAGGGCTCCAGGCATGTATTTGTTTATCTGTAGCAGGCAGTTTGATACAGCTCAAGTGCTGAAACTGCTGGAACAGAGGGGGTTTCTTCCAAGTACTTTCAATAAACTTCCAGACTTCTGTATCTTTCCTGATTGGAAATAGCTTAGTGATGGGCTTCAACGAAGCCCACAAATATGAACATATCCAAACTCTGATCAGAATTCAGATTAAAGCTCTTTTGTTAAACTTCTTCATTTTAGCCACATCACATTACATGACCACTAACTGCTCCGGATTCTAGGTGCACTCTGGGGTTCAAGAGCGGGTCTTTTCTAGAGACTTAATGAATCATCTCATTCTAGTATATTTAAAGGTGGCTAAGAACAGTCAGTTGACTATCAAACCACTATAATTTTGTGCATTGTCCACATTGGCACCGTTCTGACAACAGTAATCACAAAGCATCCAGCGTCCATATCCTACAATGTCCAGATCCTCTGAAATGTAATGTATTCAAACACCTCATGCAGAATAACCAATGCCCCCCAAAAAGCCCAGAAATCAGGCCATTTAAACAAGTAAACTAATTCTGATCTTGCTCTTGATATGTTCCCTTTGATGGGCAATGTTGTATATGGATCCACCTCACCTAGCATTCACCAAAATTGAGGCACTGAACTAAAACTGCTGCTCCAGGTTTCCTCCCACTTACATTACTGATCTGGTTTAGGACAGGAACAACCATTGAGTTGCCCAAACTCTATCCACTGGCTTAGGAGAGACAGAGGTAATCAATTTAGGTTTTGTTGTTTTTGTTGTTTTTTTTTTTTTTTAAAGACAGCAGCCAAAATGACTGGCCTACAAACAGTGTACAAATTTCAACATCTTTGATGTCTAGAATAAATTTGACTGCTTAAGTTTCCAACCGCAGAGAAACTTCTTCCTCTTGAAACACTGTTTTGTCACTAGATAGTAGGAAGTACTAATTATTGTAATCCTTTCACTTGCACAAGTTTTCTAAAATGGCCTAAGTACTATGCCTTCAATTCCTGCATAAGGAAGACATGTTCTGCCAGCAAACTTTGTCTCCTGATCTGGTGGCCTGAGATACTCACTGAATTAGCAATCTCAAATTATATTGCATTGCTCATTTGAGGCAGCAAATGAAAAACATTAAGAGCACGTGGAAGTTCGTGAGGGAGGGAGGAGCAGCTCAAGAGCTGGGAGAATTCAGCAGGACATAAAATATTCATTGCTCCTTCAGCTTTCCCTGCATTTGGTAAACACATTCATTACTGTTACAAAGAGTAACAGTAAAAATTACTGTTAAAATACATGGTAATAAAGCAAAAAACAAGAAGGGAAGTAATCTTGAAAGATCAGAAATGACACTGCAAACTAGAAACTCCTTCCAATAAAGTTCATATGGGTGGGACTCCTCAGAAATGAAAAATGTAACAAAACTTTTACCAAGGCTCAACATAAATCTGAATTTTGCTTCTCCACAATTATTCTACTTGCTTGCATTCTGAAGTGCTTTTACAGTGTCACACTGAGCCAAGAGTTTCCACTGTGCCTCTGTGGAAGGCACTGTGTAGGCATGACATCCAGGGAGACACTCCTCACTCAGAATGTGTGAAGCCTGGTAAAAAAACAGACAGACAAAATGGGGGACTGGGCTGTGACAATGAAGTAGTTCACTGCTGCCTTGTAAGAGAGTCAGAGCCAAAACTACATCTTCACTTCCCAAAAAAAAGTTTAACTGCAGTTGTGGATCTAAAGCTTCCATCTCTGTACGCATCCCATTCACAGCTTTCAGAGTAACGTTCCAAGTGTATCTTAGTTCAGGTCACCTTTCTGGGCTTGATTTCAGCGATGAAGTACGGTTTGGCAGTGGCAGAGTGGCAGACCTCTTAACAACCTTCTCTGAATCAATATTGTCCGTCTCACTCTTGGAGCGGGGAACTGAAAGCTGGCTTCTGCCTGTAGGATAAATCAAATACGGGAATATTGGTGAACTGGATAGGAGGCAAATAAATACATGCTTTACATGCCCTTTCTGTTTGACAAATCATACAAGAAATGTGAATTACTTACTGTCCTCAGAATAGGAATAACGAGGAGAGTATGAATCAGAATCTTCATCTGAAAGACAAAACCATTTTGCAAGTAAGCTGAAAGAGCCCCAAAGAAGAAGCACCAGAGACCCTTTCCATTTCTTATACTAATACACTGGCCATAATTTGAGTGATAAGTACAATACTTACCACAAGGAAAGGATCCTAAAAAAGAAAATCCCAATGAGGTTTAATTTGCATTTAAATATAATTCCTAGATTAGACATAAATACTAATGTACTACTTACACTAATACTTTTCTCCAGGCTCGCAAAGCACTTTAGAAAACAATCACTTTTAATGACAAAACTCTTCTACAGCAAGGGTTATTAGGTCCATTTTATCAAAAGTTGAAAGATAAATAGAGGATCTAAAAGCCATAGTATAAGCCTAAAATAATTTATTAGGTGCTAGACACAGGAATAGAGCTGAGCAGTCATTCTCCCAATCACATATGATAACTGCTGGGAACTCTTCCTTGTATTAACTTGCACACCAAGTTGAAGTATGTTCACTGACTCAGACTACCTTTTAAGCACAGATAATGTTCCTGACATGACACACACATGTATACTTGCACCAAGAGACTGTCCTTGTTAGGAAGAGCTTACTTTTTAAATAGGAAACATACATCTATAGAATGCAATAGAGATATTAAAGTAGCTCTAAAAGAGATAGTGATGGCAATCATTACAACTGAGTGGCGTGGTCTGGCCCCCAAGCTGAACAACATTCTCTCTTTGACAGTGAAAGTGTTATACTGCACAAACACAGCAACTGTCGTTCCCAGGACACAACTGCTGCCTTGAGTTGTGGAACCATGTACTGTCTTATTCAAAGATAACATGAACTGTAGTGCACAAGGCAAATGTGCCCCAAAACAAGGTGGGAGGATGGCAGCATTACCATCCCCCACTCCACAGCCAGAGAGACTTTAACTTGATACTTAGTGGCATCTTTCCACCATCTTCAACAGGCTTTAGAATGAATCTTCAATGAATTGCAGGAGGTAGCAGGAGAAGTTGGGACCAGACCTGGAAATCAGACCCACAAGCCTATCACCTTTCTCTGTTGATGAGGGTTCAAACTTACAGGGATGTGTATATGAACCATCTACAGGACTTCCAAGGCAAAAATGCAGGAAAGTACAATGCAATTACTGCAAAGAGAACTGTGAGCAAAGGTACTATTAATACCTCTGTGAAGAGACCCCTAAAAGTGACAGAGATAAAAAGAAAAACAAAACAGATGAAGCTAGAATAAGGTAGATAAGAAAAGAACTTACTAAAAAAGTGTTATGTGAATTTAGTGATGTCAATCAATAGATTGAAACCAGTTCCAGCTCTTCTCTCAAGCAGGATATCAATCAGCTGCTACAGTCAATCTCATCAACTGGAAAAAACAATCTGGCTAACAGAGCTGATCTGAAATTGCACTCCAAGCCTTAATCAAGCCTTTCAGGAACACTCAAAGAAGTCTTAACTTTTAGCCACTCTGCTGAGTTCTCTTGGTGAATGAGTTAGAATGTTTAAGTTCCAAACAGATGGTTATTGACTCTGGTGTGCTTATTATAATTTTCAGGTTAAAAAAAGCAAAGGTCAATTTTCAGGCCAATTTGTATATTTTAAACCTAAATGACAGCCAACAAATATTTATTTATTCAATGTTATTACACTGAATTGTTGACAAATTGACTGGTATTCCTATATAGAAGATGGGTTTATTCAGATAGCAAAATACTTGGTAAATCACAAAACTCTCAGTCCCTACAAATACAAATGACCAAATTTCTAAAACTACCTTCACATCTATTTACCTCATAGTCTTATTTAGTGTTGGTGATCAATGAAAAAATTGATTTATTTACTTGAAGAGAAATATCAACATTCATTATAGCTCATCATTCAGACAGGAAAATCACTCAATAAAAATTCACTTCAGATAAGTGTTATTTTCCAGTGGCTAATATTCTAATATCTACATTAATAAAGGAGAACAGACACATTTTGTTTCTTCGAGTACCATATGAAGAGTATCTACATTTCTTCTCTTTTTACAGCAAGGAGTACTGAAACACAGATATCTGGAACGACTTGATAAAGATTAAAGAGTAAATTGGAGATGAGCATTAAAACAAGATCTCCTGGCTCTCAGAACTGCATTCTATCTGTGGGAACTTCCTTAATGGAACAGGATAACACCAATTTATAATTTCAAAATCTGACTCTTTTAGTGAGAAAAGGCTGTTCTCCTGTAGTTCCTAGAGACTCTGCAGGGTGGTGGTTTGTTGTTTGTTTTTTTTTTCATTGGTTGGCCATATACTCTAGGTTTCTAGAGACTCTAAAGGTATTTTAAAGGAGAGCCCAAATCTTGATGTTTCTAGGAGATCCTATGCTTCAATCCAAAGCAAAAAACTCTGACGCTAATTGTTACGAAATTGAGGCTTTGACCCATCTCTGTATAAACACTTTGCCATTGAGTATATAACTTTGAAATGTTCTCTAAATATGAAACATGCACACCAACCCATCTACAGATATTTCAAATTCCTTTTCAAGGAAAGAATCCAAGCAAATATTAGAGAAACATTTCCCAATGCACTGAGAATTAAAATCAAGTGTTTGGTTCAGTAAAATTTCAACTCCCTAAACCAGCAAATTACTTACATATGCACATCCATAAGTGCATAGGAGACATTAATGAGAAACCAGACTCTTAATACATTATCATCATTGGTTTTGCAAACCACGTTAGTTCAGACAAGAACAAAATGGATTTTCAAACTTAATTACAAACAAGAAAAGCAAAGCTCTGTAAAATTCCTTTATCGATTGGTTATTGAGACTATGTCATCCATACCCTCATACCATTCTGCCAATAGAAAATAATTCAAACTTCATTAAGATTTGCAAGATAGGACTCTTCACCTACAGGTTTCACCAAGAAATGAGCTAGTATCTTTAGATACCTGTATGACAGTAGTCCACGTTCATTTTAACAGCGAAATGCACCTTACATCTCCTAGTCATCTTTTGGCATCTCAGCTAGAACCTCCATTGTATGTTTTCTTCTTACATAGTACCCACCATACATTTAAAATAAACATTGAATTAAATGGTTAATTAATAGTCTCACCAGGGCTGGCTTGAGGCACAGTCTAAACTGCAGGATCTAAAGTGACACTCGAGCACCAAGTCAATAAAGCTGTCACCAACAAAAATTTCCCAATCAGGAAATGTCTGTATGTCCAATGTGTGCAGCTGATTCCAGTGTTTCTCAAATATAAGCATTGTCATGTATATGCACACAGTTACATGATTATCACTGCAATAGATGCTACTTCACCATCCTTGAAACATGACTAGAAAGGATTCTGGTTTGTACTTGAAATTTAAAGGAATCTGCTGAGCACAGGAAAAACATAAGGTAAAGACTGTTATTTCAAGTTGCAAGATGTGCTGATGAGACTGTCAAACTCTGTCCTTGCCTAGATATGCCAAATGTACCTAAGGCCAGCCCTGAACCTATGTTACCAAATTATATTTAAAAGACTACATTGAGGGACTCATCCAAAACACACTGAAGCAAGCAGCTTTTACCAGTAGCCTTCAGCAGCATTTTGGGTCTGGCCCTAATATTGTGTTAATATTAAAACCAGAAGTAATTTATTGATCTGAAAGGGTAGTGGGAGAAATCTTAGTTAAATCACAACTTTACATGTAAGTCAGCATTCTAGGCATGTTAAATAATCACTGCACACACATGGCTAAATATAACTGATAAGCACATAAAACCAAGCAAACCCCAAGACTGTAGCATTAGTCAAACACTAGTTAAAAAGCCAGAGGAGCACTGCAAAACCAAAAAGGCATCATACAGTCAAGGCAATGCTTAGAGTGCAGCAAATCATTATGAGGCAGCATAATGCTCAGCAACTAGAAAAACTCTAGGAAGAAAACAAATGGATAAGGCAGCATTTGTGCAGAAAAATATATATGGTCCTTTATTATTACCTTCAGAGATAGGACTAGGAGTAGACGCAGGAAACTGGTATGTAGGAGAATAAGGATTGTCTTCTGCAGCAGAGAAAAGCAGTGGATTTTGAGACTATCCACAGTGAAGTGGAGGTTCTGCTTCATCCCCCAATTTCCTATCACCATATGATTTTATTGCCTACTTTAATAACACTAAAGTAAATGGCATCATACTTTAAAAAAAGATTAATGGATTAGCAAAGACTTAGTTATTTTATGCATCACACATGAAGGTATACTGGGCATAACTGAATTTCCAGCCAGTGGAAAACATGGGTAACAGAAATCTAGAATCTGAATCTAGTTACTATTAGGGTGCTATAGTACAGTTAACTCAAAGCACAAGACAACAGATACTCTGACTAAACTTCTGGTACCTTCATTTTTTTGCTGGATTTCAGGAAGTTCAGGAAATATGTAGGTAGGGCAATAAGGGTTTTCTTCAGGAGTGTCTAAGGAGAGGAACGTAATTTGCAAAAAAGAACAGAGAGGACAGATTTAAAGGGGAAGAAGGGCGAGACAAGAATCCATACAAGCTGACTGCTGAACAGTCCCTCTCGTGCTGATGTTCTACCATGACACAACTTAGATGCCTCTTTGCTTGTTGCTGCCTTGCATGTGTGGGCCCTGCGAGAGATCCTGGAAACTGAGCGGACTGAACTCAATCTCCTCCTTCTGAAGCACGGCCTGTGCCCTGAGCTGAAGAACCTCTGTTAAGAGCACTGGGATTAGGAACAGTTTAACTCTTTTTCATTCCATCTAATACAACACAGCATCTATCTATGCAAAAAGCCCATCATGACAGCACCTGCAGCAGCAAATACAGCTCCAGTTTCGCATGCTCTATGTTTTATTATGTAAGTGCAGTTCTGAATTGCATTTTTGCCTCCACATCAGGCTGTTCAGAGGGTTCAAAGTTTGCAAATGTTACTGCAGCCATTTCTCACACAGAAGAAAGAACATAAATGTATTTATCAGCAGCCAGGCACAAACGTGCCCCGAAGTAGGGGATCCCCTACAAAGTGTGCAAGTGCTCACCAGAACTTTAAGGTTTTGAAAGGAGAAAATTTGAGGTTTTGAAGAAGCAGAGTTCAGATTCTGAACTCACCAAAGATCAACTAAAACCTTTCCACTGGTCTCAGTGAGTTCCAAATCAAGCTTCATTATGCAAGTACTAAAGCTTTACAGTGCAAAAAGTTTTTTTCTTATGCATAGCCTAGTTTCAGTGATAACCTACTGTCCTTTAAAAGTGGAGTTACCTGCTAAAACTGGAGTTCAGGGATCTACTCTCTCTAAGTATGAAAATATTAGCAGCTTTCTGATCTCAGTACTCTTGATTTCATGAGACCAGTTCACCTTTCAGAACAATTCAGACCTTTCTTTGGACTTTACTGTTCTCTCACCTTTGACTTCAGATATTTCAAATACATTGGCTGAGTTCTGCGGTGCAGAGCAAACACTAGTGAACATAAAATGCTTTTACGTAACCTGCAGTACAAATCTTCACATGAATGAAACAAAGTGTTATCAATGTGGTCTTCTGAAGTAAATAAAAAACATCTGTGTTACAGTACCTCTATTTAGCTTGTGGATCTGTTTGAACATTGTCTTGTACCAGTCCTTCGATCTGTCTGTATTCTATTGGAAAAACAAATATACACATAAATAATCACAACCATGAATTCCACCAGCTTTCCAGCAATGGAAAAGGTTGACACTCTATTATATGAAATTAATACTTTGAAATATGAGTGATTTCACTCAGATATATAATTTCATATGTAATGAAGCTACAGGCTTCACTCAAGTTACTCATAATTTGCAAGCTTTGCAGAGGTAGGTTGTAAACTACGTAGAACTGTAGATTGTGTGGAAGGTTTTGCATACTAATCTGATTTGACATCTAAAAGTACACACCCTATTTTAATCTTATGTACTGTTTTCCTAAGTATTCAATGGACAGTCAGAAACCTTAGTGTTCAAGTCACTCTAAACACTAGTTGTAAGAAGAGGTTAATAATTCCTGTAATGATAGTTTCCCCTGAACACTGAATAAAATTAAACATGTCATATAAAAGATATATTTGCCTTTTAAATGGCTAGAATAAGACAAAACTCTGCCTTAGCTGCTGTATTTTCAAATATGATGAAAAGATATATTAATTTTTAATTTTTTTTCTTATGAGGCAGCTGAAACAGGTCACTGATAGCAAATGGAAGCATTCATAATAAAATACATTAGAACTAGAATTCTATCATCCCTTAAGTCTCTACAGTCTCTGAGCCTACCTAAGTCCTAAGGTAGGCAGAATCTGCCCCAAGTTTTGTGCATCTACCACATGCTCAGTGTTGTCTTACCCTCAGTGGAATACCAATATCATCGACAGATGTATCAGCCATTTGCTGAGGGCTCTTGCCAATGCTTCTCTTCTCCTCCATTGTCCTCTTCTCACTCGGTACTGGCTCCTGAGCTGGCTTGTCCCGTATGAGTGCTGAGTCAACTTTATCAGAAACTAGTCTGTCCGGCACTGAATCTGGAAATGACAATGAGGGATTCTTATCTCATCCCAGCATTTCACCACATCACCATATTCCACTCTTTTTAAGGCAAAAATCCTAGCAAGTAGTTGATGAGACAGACTCTGTCACTGCTAGCTGTGTCTAGCGCCTGAACTAAAAGAAATCTACCAAGAAAATGTTTGACGTCAACAAAAGCAGGCTAGCATTTCTCAGGTAGCTTTGACTAATCAGCGACTCTGCAATCTCATTCTTCATCGAAAAACATCCATGATACAGTCTCCCAGACATCTTTTTCTGTTGGTGATTTCAATCTAATGGAGCATCCTACATGGTAGTGGGGCACTACTTTTTAACAGCTTGCACTCACCTGTCTGACAATCCCATTCATCACAGTCATATATGATGCTTCCAAATCATCTCTGTGCCCTAACCAGTAAATAACAAATTCCACCGTTATTTAAGGCTATATATGATTCCTCTTGCACATGAGTTTGCATAAAGATGGCAGGAGACAACTACTTGCTCCAGGTCACCTTGCTTCTACCTGGAATTCCTTGACACTGCCCAACTGACACCCACATGTAGCAGTAGGCACACCACTACCACCACTGACCAAAGAACTAAGGGAGCTCAGGTTGCTCTGAAGCTCTACTATGCTCTGGAGAGATGCAGCACAACAACCCTTAGGCTCTATCAAGGGTTTTCTGTGGATTTTGTGGAGATGAAACATCTGTGATTTTAGAGTCTGCCTCATCAAGACTTTGCCAAGTCATATTCTTTTTACATCACTGCATGCATTAAAAATAGAGATAGAGAGAGAAATGTTTATTCACATGCACATCACCATACTGCCCAAAGCCATTAAATGTGCAGAAATCTGAAAGGGGCAGTTAGCAGAGAAAAGACTCATGCATAACAAAGCATTGGTCCATTGGTACCTTGAGCAAACACAATTCTGCCCTGTGAAACTTAGTACATGAAAGATTTGTGTTTGAGTAGTTGGTTTGAAATTACCATCAAAATTTAGGCCTTCCTCCTCTTTAAGGAAAAATGAAATAATGTTTGTAAATGTTCAAAATGGGGAAAAGCATCTATGAAATCCTTGTTTAGCATTTTCATCCTATTTCCCCTCCCTGTGAATATGTATACAGTCTTTCGGTCCTTTCATGTCCCTTGGTGCACAGGGCTCTCCATTTTTAGGAAATATTTGGTCCATTTCCGTTACTGAACTTAATAAAACTCTAGAAACAGAGCATAGAAAGAGAAACTGAATCTAGACCATTCTTCCATGACCTTGAAGACAAAAAGTAAGCAGGTTTTTGGATGTGGATGAGGAGAGGATGCAAACTTAAGGAAAGGTCACAGCTTTTCTATTACGTATCATTGTCACTGCTTATGTTACAAGTTCTGAGCTTCTGGTCTAGAAAACTAATTATTTTCTGCAGGCTTTAACCTTTAGAATTCAATGTCATTGACCTTCTCTGACAGGATTGGTAAATATATATTGTTTCTCTTTCATTCTCTAGCTCCCTGCACAGGAAAAGTGGTTGGCTGCTTGTCAGGTAGATCCCATCAGAAACGACAATGATAATATTTGAAATACCTAATATAAACATAAACAACAGGGTAGATGTATCACGATGTCCCAGTGCCACAGCCATGATCTAAGCAAAATCTTTATTTTGATGATTTAGCAAAAACAAAACCCACCATCTGGCCTGTGCCAACCATCTCCCAACCATGAGTTTCTATCTTATAATATTAAACATGAGAAGGTTTGGGAGCTATCTAGCATGGCATAGCCAGGGTAAAAACCTATCAGCCAGTGTAATGTATTTTAAAAGAGTTTCCAAAAATTTTTTGAGTCCACTTAGAACTGGTTGAAGGTGCTGTACTGACAACCCTGAAGGCAGGAAAAGCCTGTTCTGACAGCCTGAGTTGTATTAGGTCAAGCCCTCCCTGTGCACCCTGCCAGGCAAGTACTTCCTAGGTCCACAGGACTCTACCAAGAGGGTCAGATTAGATGCTGGTCCAGTTTGGCTGCTCAGCTGATACTGCAAACATAGACACCTGCTGCACCAGCATCTTTGCAGAGGAAGGAACTAAACAGACATCTATCTTTCACCACAGCTTCCTACAATACTCTACAACTTAGAGAATAACAGCTGGACTTCACACTGACTTATTTGCCATGCAGCTCCAATGATTTCAAAAGAGTTTACAGAGGTACACACCAGGATTTGAAGTACTTAAAAATCAGAGAGCCAAATCTGGTACGTAATCACCCAAATAACCAGACTGCACCATTCAGCACACTCCATGGCACCTGGGCCATCCTTTTGCAAGAGCAGCAGCAATATAAGGTTGCACAGCAAGAGAGTTTTACTGCTGTAACCAACAGAACATAAAAAGCAGGGGGAGAGGTGTCAGCCAGCAGCTTTATGTGATTGTTTTGGTACACCAAGAGTAGGTGCAGACCTAGCTGTGCCACAAGGTGCTTCAATCTTCCAGACTGAGGATCATTTGGGCTGTAACACTGCTCTGTGGCTATCTCTAGTTCAGAAATGAAAGGAGTTCCTGATAATTAAGGGAAACAGCTTGCAAAACAGAAAACCAACAGGAAACCTCTGTCCGAACTTGGAGCCAAGCATTAAACTTGCAGCTGAGTGGTGTCTGATGACACCACCTACAGTAAGGAGCTGTTATGCAGCCTGTCACCACAGCAGGGTGGCAGAGGAGAGGAGGGACAGGCTGGTGTCACAGCCGAGGAACCAGGTGGATGAAGTTTGACCAGGTCAGCAGCTGCCTCATGGGCAGATGCTCTCCTTACAGGGCACACTCCACTAGTCCAGGGCCCATGCAGCAGAGCAAGACCACGCAGTATTGGCTTCTCTGTGCTTCTATTTGTGATATTTGAAGTGCTTGGGCACTATCTGTGACACTCTTCTTGCTCGTCTCTCCATTTACCCCTCCATGGCTATAAGCAAAGAATAACGATATGGGTAAGCAGTGCACAATATGGTGTGAGTGTTATAGGAACATTGGACTGAGTTACTTCATTTTGGGGTGCAGGAAGGGAAAGATGACCAGGAGAACAACTTGTTCTTCTTGCAAGGACACTCTCACACATGTTGCAAGAGCAGAGAGCTGCCTGGGGAGAGAAGTGTGGCAGCACACGTGTGTACTTGCACACTACAATTTTATCATCTATTTCTTGACATCTGGCACAAATACTTCTGCTCTTGGAGTCATGCAAATACTGATTTTTATTTCTCTTCCTCTCTCCTTACCACAAGCAAGACTAACAGCTGTGTAAAGAAACTTGAGAGTATGCCCCAAAAGAATAAACCTAAAGGCAGCCCCAGAAGTCAATCAGAACAATCAAACTGTATGTAAATCTTATGACTTAGGAAGAACAGACAAATAGTTTAGGGTTTCAGTATATTAACATGTGGCCACACAGGTAGCATTAGGAGAAAAGACTGAAATGAAACATTCAGTGACCTGGACTAAGCCATGACAAATATTTATACTAATTCCTTTGCAGTTCTTGGGAAGTGTGTTTGCTGAAGGTACTCCACAAGCTAACAAAGCAGCAGCTTTGCTTCAAGCAGAGGCAGCAGTTGGGGGGTAGCAGACCTTTCACATCATACCTGCCAGGCTACTAAGCCTTTTTTGCTGTTCTGTGGTAAAGGAAGAAACAAAAACAAAAGAAATACAGAACAAATGGGTGAGACATAAACAGCAAGTGCTCTGGTGCTGCATTTCTGACACGCAAGAAATACACTGTAGACAGAATGGCAGCCGCTGCTGGAGAGAATCTGGTTTCAAATATCCTGCTGAAGTGACAGCCCACAGTCCTTTCTCCACACAGCAAACTCATGGAATAATATAAATCTCATGATGCAGTGACCGATACATTTGTACAGAACTTTTAATTTTTTTTTATTTTTTTTTTTCCTTAACAACAGAGAATGAAAAAAGTTGGATAGGAGACAATTTGAAAAACAGTAAACACAGTCAGACTACTTGGCAACTCTGTTACTATTAGCATGAAGGACATTTTGAAACAATAATGCTGTAGCATTTCAAAGGTATATAGGAAAGGACTGAGTCATTATTGGTGCTTGCTGAGTCTCATCACATACTACTGAGCCACAGACTCAGGGATTTGCCCACAGACACAGCTTGGTTAAGTTTTTGATTCTCAGAATGGTCCCCTTGGTTTAGGGCCTTTCATTACTAAGTTCTCAGACTAGGACCTTTGTGCTATCTTCCAACATGTTTGACCACCCTAAAGTTGATGCTCACAGCTGCTTTCTAAAGGGATGCCCAAATGACTTGTCCAAGTCATGACTGAGAATAAACCAAGAATTCTTAGTGCTCTGTTCTCTGCTCTTTCTAATCCCTAGTAATTATTCCTTTAATTTAAAGCATGAAAGCAATTTGAAAAGAATAAACTACTTGACTGACATACAAAATACTAACACTCTTGAAAGCTCACACTGTTAATGCAAAGATTTCAAAAATATTAATCACACCTATTGTATTAATCATAAACCATGCCATGCAATGTCTGCCCAGGAAATAATTGTGCTTTGGAGTGACGTGGGACACTTACCAAGCAAGTTTGCCACAGGTAACAATCCTCCAGGTGTATGCTGTTTCTAGCAGAACCCACCTTCACTATATATTTGTACTAAGTGGACTGTCTCAGCAAGGGAGATTGATATTTTTCCTCACTAAGTGCAGCTCCCTCACCACCACCTATGAATTCTGTTCTTTTAAGTGCAGCATTTCTGCCTTGCTAACCACTGATGGCAAGCTGCTCATGTACATTATGTTCACATGATAGCTGCCAACATATGAAACAAACCTCTACATGCAATGGGTAAAAGGAAGGGTTAGTAATCTGAAAAGTAGATGGGAAACACCTGCTGCAAGCTTCACTCTTCTAAGCAGGCCATCAGGAGTAGGCTGATGTATTATGAGAAAGGAGAAGAGATGCAAAAGAGGATGGTCTCAGCTTCAGCCATCACCTTCACTGAGGAGAACTGCATTCAATCACTAAGGTCTCCTAACAAAAACCTGTGGTTCAAATAGTCGATGCTTGAGAGCTCTTTCCTATCTCTTCTTCCACAGGGGAAAGAATATCATGGATGAATAGACTTTTCATGGAAACAACAAAAAAAAAAAAGTACTTTTTACATGAAGAGGAGATTTCCTTTTCATTTATGTCTTTGACTAGGAAAGAGAGCTGCTGCTGCTGGATAGAAGCAGAAGGAGCAGGAGGTGTCTGCTATTTCATTCTCCTGTCTGACCAGAGCCAGCTTGCAGACCCAGGCACACACCTGCTAACTGAGACTTTCACTCTCTTGTGATCTGGGACTGTAAGCAAAGGCCAAAAACTTGTAGACTTTTCAGAGAAAGGGTTGGTCAGAGGAATATATAACTGCTCGCAACGGTGAAGGAACGATTATAGAGGCCTTCAGAGTTCCCAGAGGAGGAAGCACTGGAAGAAACTAAGACTTGAAGCCAGTAGCAAAAGGGGTAGAGGAAAGAAGTATTTGAGTACATCTTCAGTGCAAAACAAAGGTGTCAAAAAATTAATCAAGACACCAACAGATATGAGGGGAAGAAATTCTTACCTTGGTGCTAGAAATGAACAAGAGGATCTGATATGACTTGTTAATAAGCATAAATCTTATTCAGTTGGTTTTACTGAAATTCAACAGAAAAAATTCTGAGATCTCTCATCTAGCAGACAAAAGAAAGGATACAGTGCAGTTTCTGTGCTTCAAATTGCCTTATGTTTTTCTATGTCTCTGACAGCTCCAAATCAGAGTCTTACATGCTGACAGATTAATGAACTAGCAGATAAAGCATAAAATAGGACAGTGGGTGAAGTCTGCTACAACAGTCACTCCAGAGAATAAGATAACCAGCTCCTTAAAAAGCAATCAATAATCCTCTGAGGAGAAAGAAAGCCACATTATCCATCTGGAAGACTAACTAAACTACTGGAGATCTCAGCCTGCCAGCATTAAAATGACCTTGAAATACCTAATTCACAGGGTATTTATATTATTAACAATTTATATTAAACCTCAACTTGACACGAAGGAATTGATTTGAGCACAAAACATAATTAACCATTCAGGGGAAGGTGGATCATAACCTAGTAACAATTTGTTATATGCCATGAGAACAAATCAGTTTTAAATAGGTAAGGTCTATTCTAAATATGAATCATGTCAGCCAGGACAGAAATGTAATAGACAACCAAGACCTGAGAACTATTTAAAAAGACTAAGTCAGCAAAAAGAAATCTTAATGCTATGCTGGGATAAAGCCTAGATAAGAATGGAAGCATAAGGAACTGTAAGAAACCCTCAACACACAAAAATATGGACGACTAAGAAAATGCATACCTGTGAGTAGGTAATGTATATTAGGAAGTGAAAGAAAATTACAATGGAAGTAAAAGAATTAACAAAATGTCTCAGAGACTAAAAAATAGGTTTTAAGGTACATGAAGAATAAACAGAAGCCTCGCAATAATCTTGTTCTTTTACCAAATAGGCACAGTGGAACTGTTAATAAGAGGGCAGAAAAGACACATCTGATTACTATTTCCATTCTGCATTTGCAAAAAAAAAAAAAAAAGTCTGACGTCCTACTGCCTGGTGGAGAAATACTTTCCACTTCAACAGTAACTAAGGACTACGCTGAATGACAACTGAATGACAACTTGAAAATTAGCATGTTCATATAAACTGTATTGAAGAGTTTTAGAGCAGTTTTCTACTCTAAAGAGAGCGATTATGGAGAGAGTATCTCATTGGACCATTAACATTCATCTTCAGTATGTCTTGAAATACCAAGGAAACTCCACAGGACAAGGAAGAAGGCAAATGTTGTGACAACCTTCTAAAAACATTAGTGAGATGGCTAGGACATCTGTCTGTCAAGTCAACGACAATGCCAGAAAAAAAATACTGTAATGACTTATATAGTATTTCACTACTAAGTAGATAGTATGACACACACAATGTTGGTCAATACAGATTTATGACTAAGATGCCTTGTCAAACCAGTTTAATATGATTCTTGCAAATTACAAGTTTGACTAATGAAGACTGAAAAACAGGCACTGGAATGAGATAATTCATAGACTTGATCAAGTTGCTTATCAGGCCATGATCTATATTGCAGTCAACAAAAACCTGTGATGAGAGAAGGCTCTTAAATCTATCAGGATATAGTATAATGAGTGCTAGTGGTCAGAGGCAAGCCATATTCAGACAGGACAAATTATTAACCATGAAGGTAGTAAACAGAACAACTTGACACCTGTTGTCTCAGAGCCACTGCATGTGGATCACCATATTATACAGATTTGTCTCTCCTGCTCTTAAAATCTACAGTGAGAAAATACCCTTGTGTGCTACACACTGAAATGCTCCAGATTTAATATGACAACCAACCAAAAGAGTATCCCACCTCAAGAAAGAGAACAAAAGGCTTTGAGATTAAAAAAGCCTGCCTCAAATAGTATTTTCTCCTCTTGAGGCACTTGAGGAATCCAGACACCCTCATTCAGAAGCACATAAAAAAAAGTTGCTTCAGATGCTGGCAAAAAGGAAGAAATAACCCACTTGTTAGCCCTATAATCAGCTAAACTACAGTGAAAACACCATCTTCAGGATCAAAGACTGTTTTAAAAGGCACTGAAAAAAAACCAAGGGGCTACAAAGGAGCACATCAATGCATAACTGTAATTAGAATGACTACAAGGAATACAGGGCTTGACCCTATTTTCTGATTTTATTTTTTTCTTCTTTGCAAAAGGTAAGTCATACCACTGTTCATTGGAATCTGTCTGTCCTGGAGTTTCTAAAGTCCACTGGAAACCAAGGCAAATCGAACTGCATCTTTGTGGCCCTTTATAAGCTACAGTTTAGTGATGCACAGTAACTGGGAAGCTGGTATAATGCCTGCCATCTGGAGAACTAAAAATGAGAAGCACAGTTTCCCTCTAATGTCAGAGGTAAAGAGATGCAACTATCCATTCAGAGGAAACTGGTGTGAGGTAGAGAAAGGCTCAGATTAGTAAACACAGGAGGGATCAAACAAGGTTGTTTTGTTCATATGCAAACCCAGAGCTCAAGCACTACTGCGGTATGAGTCTGAGTTGATCCAGTCAGGGATAGAGGAATAAACTGCCAAGTTCTTACAGGGGAAAAAAATTATTTACTATTGGGTAAATTCTGCTGAGAATTCAGAGGTCAAATCTCTCCCACAGTAACTGAAAATATGGCAGCTTTCACACTGCAGTAGCTAAGCTCCCTCCTTTCCAGTGAGGGAGAACCTACTCAAGATATCTTGCTTCTGCTGATAGCTAAATCTAAGCATATACCCTTTTCCACCATGACAGGGCACCTGATAAGGGGATATGCTGTTACCCTGCAGTAACTGACTCAGATGTCCATAACCCAGTTATAAGACCCTTCCACAACCTCAGAGTGGCTTCTGAACCACAGATTTTAATTAGAGACAGTAGACATTGTCCCAAACCTCTAACCTCTTACTTGCCTGTTGTATGCTCCAGTCACTACAACTTTCTGGAGGCAGCTTTGTTAGCTCTTAGTAGTCTGGACTTCATTGTCCATGGCACACACATTCTCCAGTTCCTTGTAGCCTAACAGGTTTCTTAATTTGAGCTACAAATATCTATATACAAGTCTCCTTACCTCGATTGTGCTGCAAGAGGACAATAGTGGGATTGACAATTGTGGTAGAGGGATAGGCAGAGGAAGACTTGTTGATTGAAGTGAAGGTTGGATAGTCAGTGCCAGTGCCAGGCTGGGGCACTTCATTTAGCACAGGACCTGGGTCCTGAAAAGGAGAGCAACACATCATTAGCAGCATGCAGAAGGATGCTACACTGGGAAAATCTAGGGAAAAAAAAATAATTTAAGATTAATGAGAAGCATAATCACAGCAAATTTTAGTAAAAAAAGGGATAAGCATGAGTGCTACCCTGCTCCTTGTATGTACCCTGCTCGTTGTTAATGCAATTAGTTTGCTAAGGCAGTACCATAATTATTTGGTGTTGAGTTTCACAACTCCAACCCCAAAAGTAGGTACTCAATTAATCCCAAAGACTCTCTGGAGCAAACACAGGGTGCCAGAAATGAATGAGCAAATCTGGTTGGGGGGAAGACACAGACATCTTTCCCCTGATACACACACACACAAACATTTGTTTTAAAAGTATTCTTCTCATAGCAAGAAGTCAGACGTGCAAAACTCATGCAACTCTCAAGTGAAACATTATTACTGCAGCTGATTTGGTAAGGAAGGTCTGAGGAATAAGATTAGCACCATGACTCAGGAGACAGTGACACACCTACCTGATTAAAATAATGAAATAAAAGAAATTAAAAAAACCTCAAACCCACAACAAAAAACTCCCCAAACTGATAGAAAGTAAAAAGCAGGACTCTAGCAAGGAAGATACTAGACATGGCTTTGCCACTAGAGCACGGACAGCAAGCCGCTCTTGCTCTCCTAAAGCATTCAGCTCCATTATTTACTTATTTCAAACCCACCTCTGATATCACCACAGCTCTGGTTGTTCTGTAGAAATACAGGCTGTGTCAGCAGCAAGACTTTAAAAACTAGTTAATCTTTGAAAAATCTCAGTCCAGGGATACTGGGATTTTTGTTGATAGTAAGGAGAAAAGATAAAGAAGGGATGATGAATAAGACTGTGTGTGCCAGTTTAGGCTGAGATTTTTCAAAGCTTCTTAAGGAATTTGGACATACAATTACTGCTAATGGAGACTGAGCATCCAAACAAAGAGTATGGAACAGCGTACCAGATTTCTGCACTCCTCATACTTCAGTGCCACTCTGAAATACTGGAGGCCACTGATCTGTAAAATGGAGCTGACCATTCAAGGAGATTTTAATAAATATTTAAAAAAACCTGAACATGCACAGAATAATGCTCTAGAAGAATCCCTACTCCTGGATTTTCTGGCCAAGTGCAACTCAGTACCCTTCATACCCACCAGTGTCAGGGGAAGGGACTTAACAGGATCAGACAGGGGACTGAAGAGGGGCCAGAGTGAGGCCTGGCACCAGAGCTGAGATAAATCACAGTGAGAATTTGCCATAATCAGAAAAAACATCTACAGTCTCTCCAACCTAGAGGGAAAATACAGGAAAACAATCCTGTTCAGCTGGATGGAGATAATCTTGCTCCAAACAGCATCTGATCAGACCATAGACGCTTCATGAAGACAGAAAAAAAATCAATGGTCTTCAGAAATAGATGGCCCCAAGAGAGAGACCCAGCCCCATTTTGCTGCCTGTGATAATATTCTAAACAATACAATTTGGGAAAAGGAGTGGGAATTGGGGAGAAATATGAGACAGTTGGGTTTCAGCTTCACTTAGGTAACTAAAATATAAAGAACCTCTCAAAGAATAAGGATGACATATCAGGATAGGCTCAGCAGCCCCAGCTAAGTCACCAAAGTGCATCAATAAAGACCATTTAAATCATTGTGGAAAACAGCTCTGTGACTATATGCCTGAAAGTGAACATGCCAAAAAAACGTTTCAAAAGTCTCATCTCACAAAAAGGAAGGAAGGAAGGAAGGACGGAAAAAAACCCAAACCACAACACCAAAACCCACAAACTTTCATTGCTCTATGTAGTAAAAAACCACCAATTTCAACAGAAGCAGAAAGGCCAATGCTGAAAACTTTAAAAAAATATCTTTTTTTTTTTTTTTTTTTTTTTCCTGCTAGATCCCTACAGAGTCAGAGGGCAGAGAAAGCATCATCATGAGAGGACGGGATTTTCTGCTGAACTACTTACTTTTCCTTACAAGCAACCATGTAAAAAAAATGGTGGTTGCAAGACTTTCAGTACAAGGAGAGTCAGGTACTTTTTGCCGCCTCTGCAACTTTAACTGAGACCTACTTTTCCTCCTTGTCCCTGAGGACTTTTTAAAACAGGTGATGAGTTTAAAGAGAAACAAACAAGAGGCACACAGTAAATTCCAAGTTAAAACTGCTGTGGACTGAATTTTTCAACATTTGCAAAGACAAGCAATTCCATACTGAAGAGACACTCCTCCCCCTTATCTATCCCATAGCACCTACATGCTTGGAAGACTCTTAGCTCAGTAACTGATATTATTGCTTGTAAGTCACTGGATACTGACAGCAATCTCACACTGATTTCAGCAGGGATTTGTGTGGAGACCATACGGTCTTGTGGATCACAGTGGAACAGAAAGCCAGCCCTAACCTTTAACTGGTTGGCTGTTGTTAATTTAAATGTTATTCAAACACAATTAAGTATGCTATTAAAAGAGCCTGAAGAGACCAGCTAGTGCAGCTGTTCTGTTCATACAGAATTAATTATTCTGAGCAAATCCTGAAGACTCTTAAGGTGTGCATCACCTAGCAGAACGGGCAGAAAAGGAGACAGTCAAATGTTGTTGCAAGAAGTCAATAGAAAGTTCAAAGCTGCACAAGGCAGGCAACACGCATGCACTAGCACAGGACGTAAACAAGGTTTCAGTTGTCATGCTGCTGGCAGGGAGTGAGTCATCACTCCTCTCTCAAGTTTAGTATTGCAAGGAGAAAGTAATTTTAATCTGGGAATACAAATTTAGGAAAAGGGCGAGGAGGATACTTGGCAAGCTTACTGTACGTGAGATGACTCCAGTGATTTCAGGCTTCAAGCCCCTGTGCAAAGCCCCCGTGACTGGAGGGACAAGTGAAGGTGGTGATGAGAAGAATGGCAGTTTCGGGTAAACAGAGGGTAATGTGCCAGATGCGGAGGGTGCTTGGATATGGTGGGAACCCCGCTGGAGATGTGGGGGAATGAAATCATCTAGAGTTGGAAAAGTCAAGTGTGGGCCAGGAGAAACAGTCTCAGGGAATACGGAGCCTTTCACGAAAGGAACCAGAGGCGGTGGTGGAGTGCTGGAGCTGCCTTCTTGCTGTCTGTCTGGATTAACCTGGAGGAGGGGGACTACTATTACCCCAGGCTGAGCTGTGGTGGTGGCAGTGGTATCCTGTGGGAAACAAGGTGGTGTTATGCAACGGGGGAGATTGGTACTTTAGTCTAACGCAGCCATATAGTGTCATGCAAGTATGCACCCAAAATGATACAGATTTTCTTTCCTTAGGGAGACATACTTCTTCAGTCTTGCAGCCCTGGCCTCTGTGAACATGCACAATTTTTCACAAAAATCTTCCTTCCCCACACCACCCTTCTTCTCCAGTTCTGTGCAGCAAGGCTGTATCAAACCACAGAACAGCTCTGCATTTACCATCGCTTCAGAAGCACCAACCATCACATTACAGAGTTTGTTTCTCTTACACCTCCCTAAAATAGAAAGATCCTGGCCAGCCCAACCCCCTACAAACACCACACAGGCACAAACACTCAGATCAATGCTGGGGGAGTGCACGTAGGGTGTTAAGTATTATTGAGTAGAAGAACACAAGACTCGGGCGGCACAATGAGTGCTCAGAAATTAGGTAGGAGGAGAATAAAGCATTAAGGGAACATTGTAATGAATTAAAGAACCATTCACACAGCTGAAAGAAAACAAGGTTATGGAGAAAACATGTACCATGCTGCGTCCCATTGCCTTGTATGGTGGCTGTCGCTGCTGAGTAAGGTAGGGCTCTTTTCTCATCCTGTCCTCTGTGGCAGTTGTGCTCTGGGGCTCTAGCACTCTGTCCCTCACAGCTTGCGGAGGTGATGACTGAGTCCAGGAGGGCTGGCCCGCACCATAACTAACTGCGTCTTTACTGAGGACAATGTAAAAGTACGGCCTGGGAGGAATAGGAGGAGGAGGAGGAGCAGGAAGAGACTTTCCAGTATCTGTTACAGAGGAAACAATGTTGGTGGCTGGTGCCTGAGTGAGCTCAGCGCCCAAACTGGTGCTGGCTGCTGGATCATGTGCAGTGCCAGTGGAATTTTCAGATGTGGCTGAGCAAGTGTTGTTAGATAAACAAGCTACATATAGTTTGGTGACCTTTTTATCCGCCTTCATCTCATGACTGGAATTCATTCCAGCCTTACTACTGGGATCTGCCCTGTCAGGGTTGTGTTGTATGGATGATGCATCTGACGAGGAGCAACTTCCCAAGAGTGGCTGCCCAGCATGCACCTCATCTTTGGTGCCTGAAGAGGGAGAATACCCTGCTGGCAAGCCTTGCTTACCACTGGGGATGGCCCCATATGGGGTAGGTGATGAGAAATAACACCGCGCACTGACATTTGGTGATGCACGCTGCGTATAAGGCTTGGGTGCATTCAGGTACACACAGTCCATGATGGGCACTGGCAACAGGTTGGTCACTTTAGTGTCAGTGCGAGGACGCCATGCAAAGCTCTCCTCTTTGGGAAGAGGAGGACAGGGAGGAGCAAGGGCCTGCTCAGTCAGATTCAAGAGGGAAAAGAGGGAGAGAGGAAGCAGCACCAAATGAAAGGAAAAAGAAAGGAAAAAATAAATTCAAAGAATGAATTTGGTCATTAGATTTGGGTTAAGCAGGTTTTAATACAGCAAGAACAAAAAGCAAATACAGTATCTGGAAAGGCCAGTGCAGAACTCACTCACATACATCATCTCACACATTCCCTCTTAGCATTGCTCACTGCAGCACACAAACTTTACCCAGCTCTCAAGTCCATGACTACATATTACTCTCTAGGCTAAATAAATCTCAGTGCTGTATTGTTTTAAGAGGCCTGCACAACAACACCCACCATGCCTCTGGGATAGCCTGAGTCAAGATTTAACATCCTGGCTAACTAAACCCAGGCTCATGCCTGTGTAACTAAATATTTCCCAGCACCGGGAACATTTGAATCACAAAGCCAAATTCAGAGCTGTAAGCCATCTCTGCATGTTAAGTGCCCTGACAAAAAATGAAGGTTGCTAAGTTTCCCCAGTGCTAATGAAAGCAGACATCATGTGAATACTATAGCCTACCACAGCTGGCTAAATAAAAAGTCAGCATTTCTTCCTTCTAAAAGCTAGCTCTGAAAGTTTCTTCAGGGTTTTTCAGTCCTGAAAATGCTTTCAAGAAGACCAGACCAATTAAAGTTCCTTGAAGAACTGAATTCATAAGAATTTGCCTCCAGAATCAAGATTACTAAGAGAGAAATCCTGCTTCTAGTAAATTTAAAAAAAAAAGCTTTACTGTTTTTGGTACCTTGCAACATATAGGTTGCTAGCTCCACAACTGCCTGCTGACTCCAACTCCCAATTACAGTGAATTTTTTCTGAAAGCCAAACTGGTTTGAAGTAAAATAACTTAGCAATAAAGAGGTTTCATTTTATTTATTGCTTTGTTGCCAGTAGCTGAAAACTATAAACTACTGAAAGGAAGAGAATTAAAACACCCACCAAGTGAACAGTAGCTCCCTGCATTCTTGCAAATTAACCCTCTAGAGCCTATGAAATCAAGTTTTAAACACATCCTGTTGTCGTATCTTTACAGGCAAAAACTGGCTAAGCCACTGCTAAAATGGCCAAAACCAGAGAATGAAGATGCCTTAACAGCTTGCAACATTCAAATCTGAAAAGAAATGCCTCCTTTAAATTCATCTACATATGACAAGTTGTGGCCAGCACCTGTTCTTGTTACATGGATACAGACCTAGAATAGCTTCGTATAATTACAGCTGCTGTCCTGAAATCTACTGTCCTCATGCTACTCTCTCCTTCCCCCATTCCCTAACGTGTAAGGGAGTGGAGAAGTGAGTTGTAAGTGGTCCTTCTGAAGGGCTTCTGCTTCTGGAACAGGCTCATTCCTTTTGATTCCTTAAGGACAGTAGTTTCTGTCTGCAGACTTCAGAGTGCCACAACATTTCCCTAGCTTAGGTGAAGCCTCACTTTACTGCTACATAGTATTATCAGGAAATAATAATTCACCAACTGCAATTGTTGTTTTCCATTTTCTTCCATTTCACTTAGTTTGGACAGCAGTCCTTGAGATCTGTATAAGAGGTACTATGTGCACCAGTGCGCACGCTGTTCATCAACAAAATCAGTAAGGGGCTACAGGACAGCTGTAAGTATCAGGCAGCAAATGGCTTTCTCCTTTAGGGTGCTACTCCTTCCCATGCCTTCATCTGAGTTGTGCCTTCTTCCACTTACAATTTCAGGAATGGTGTCTGTTCTGTGGCATTGCTATAGGTCCCTGATGATGGGAGCAGTCACTCTGATAGGGGGACAAGGTTTTAAAGGGACTGTTTCACATAAGAAATCAGTTTTTAATTAAAGGTTTCCTTATCAGCTTTCAGACTGCTTTTGTGCAGACCGATCACGCAAAAGAAAAAGGATGAAGTTATACTTAACAGATTGACTTCAACAATTTACCTTCAGGTACAAATAACCTTTCCCTTGTTGGCTTATATCAGTTACAGCGTTAAAACTGAAAGGCACTTTCCTGATACCTTGTTTTTAATGTAGGTTGTAACTCTGCATTCAGCCTGCAGCAACCTCTAGGAAATAGACCAACATAAAAGACAAAACAGTAATAGATGACTACTGCACCTTTGTTCTTGTAAATGCATTGTCGTCCTCCTTCATCTGCCAAAGAAACACTGTGGCTGCCTGAACACACAAGCTCCACAGCACTCTGATGATATCAGTGTTTACCCATTTTAAAGGTAGGAAAAGCTGAGGCACAGCAACTTACCCAAGTCTTCAGCAAAGCTTGGAGTTCAACTCAGGACTCTTGACCATGTATCCAGTGCTTGAACCCAGAAGATCACCCTCAGGGTCACAGAAGAAAGGCTTACCTGTGGCTTGCTGTCTGAGGAAAGGTTTGGACGCACACTCCTATAACCCTTGGCAGCCAGAGAAGATGGGTGGGCATCCCCATTGGCATCAGTGTTAGATGACGAGCTCCAATCATCTACAAGGGTAAGGAAAACTCAGATCACAGAGGATTCCCTCCAGTTACAGGATGAGCAAAAGGAGGGGACTCTTCCTTTTTTTTTTTTTTTTCCTCCCCCTGGCAACGTGAAGTAATTCCAAGAAAGCAACAGAAGCAACAACATAAGCAGCCAATGTTTGTACCTCTTCCTGGGTTTTCTGGCTCCAGATCTAAGCATTTTATAGAAAGGAAGGACACAAGAGGTGGGGGTGGAGGACAGGCATAGAGGAAAAGAAAGGGGGAGAAAAAATAACCCATTACATTTACAGAAAACATGTACCAATTGAAGTTAAGAGTTGAGCTACTTCATTTCACACATAAAATGCTTTCTGACAGGGCTGCCTAATTACCATAGAGACCAGCCCTAAACATGATGCCCTTCTTGTTTCTGACCTTTGTAAACACAAGGCAATTCATTCAGAGGAATGAAGAAACAATTGTGCATTGACATTCTTATTTCAGAGGCAAGAAAGGCAGCCCAGCTAGCTACTGTCTAGAGCTGCAGTTTCATGTCCAGACACTGCAAATTACTGGAGGTGTAGAGACCTCGTATTCAGACATGATACAAGCTATGGAGACATATCTATCCTTATCAACATCACTATGTATGATTAACTGAGAAAGGACTGCCAACACATAGATCCAGTTTTGCAGACTAAGTGCATGTGCATGAAGTGAGTTATAAAGTACGTCACTTTACAACCAAGTCCCTGCAGCTAGATGCATTAGTCTCATCACCTATTTACCTACCTCCCACTGGGCTCCTCCCCACCCCTCTACCCATTCTGCTGTTTAAGTTATATGCAAAAGCTCTTCCAGCTCCAAAGTACATTTCATAAAGTGATTGAGAGAGTAAGCAAAGGAAATATTAATGAGCTGATTTCCATAGTAATGGGGACTTATTGCCATTCAAGATGCTGGAAATTTATGAAGCCATCAACAGAAAGGAGAGAGGCAATGGTGGGGGGTAGGAGTGAAGACAGAGAATGGCAACCATGAAAAGAGGGTAGGTCACGGGTGGAGCAGAACGGGAGGAGAAAACAGAACAGAAAGCAGCACATTGGGGCTGGAATTAATGGAATTGCTCTTCCTCCAACAATAGAGTCAGAAATGATGTACGCTTTGCTTTCAAGAGCCAGTTTGACCTCCTCCCCCCTTAACAGCATCTTGCCTTTGGGAGTTCATCCACTCTGCCAGACCCACGACACTGGCCAGGTTTGTTTCGCTTTGCCTGTCTCCTACAATTAAGTAATTACACATCTGCTATTGAAAGATAGCAGAGCTCTGTGGCGACACTGTCTGGGACACCACCCCCGCTCCCTTGACAACCCAAGTGAATGCTACAGTGCAGCAGCACTGCTCAGCCTCTTTCTGTTCCACCTTATGACTGGCATAAAAGGAGGTGATATGGGCCTGCCAGGAAAAAAAAGATTTTAGAGTTTTTGGTGCTTCTGTCAGCAAAAGGGAGTTGTAAACAAACTTAAGCCAATGAGTGAGCAGTCATGAAACTTGCGCTAGGAGAGAACAGGAGCCAGCCTGCCTCCACCGGTCTGGTTTTTGCAAGAGGCTTCTGACTACGCTATGAGATTTTGGGCTTTAAATTGTAGCTAAAAAAAGTCACCCCAAGACTCTGGACTGACCTCTCTTGAGGTTACTGTGAGTAACATATTCCAGTTAACATTCCACCCACTTACTTTCAGGTGGCTCAACATCCTGAGGACATGGTGAAGTGATCTTCTGGTTCTCTTCATAGGCTGGAGATGCCCGGAGGGTCACAGCTCCTTTTCCGCTGCAGACTTTAGTGGGATCTGTTTCTAAAGGAAATGCACATGCACAGAGGAGACACATCGAAACAGATGATACAAAGCTATTAGGAGCCATCAGAGCTCTATGGATTAATTTTAGCATGGCTGCCTCCAGGTGAATCAATCTAGTAATGTTTATGCAGATGAAGATTAGCTCTCTATTTAAAGCATTGAGAAGTCATAGTAGTTTCATATTAATGTAACTGATGAATGTAGAAGTTCTGAGTCAGTGTAACAGAGCTAAGAAAGAAGGAAAAAAGGATGAGTATTTGAACCAAATTTCACAGGTCCATTTGTTTTATTTGGTCTGCTTTGTGTGGAAATATTATACAAGGAAGGACATTCTTCCATTACACCTGTTGCTCTTCTATAAGGATGTCCCAGTGGTATAAAGCAAAATGATTTGTGTGCTGAAGCCTTAAAAATAGTTTTTGTGCAAGAGTGAAAGAGAAAAAAAAAGTTTTATGATGACTGGAAGATAAAATCTTGTAACTATGCTAAATTTAACTATGCATTGCAAGCCACCTCTTCACCATCTCTCCCTGTTTCATGGCAGTGTTTCACCTTCTGACAGAGGAATCCAAATCCCAAAAACAAGAAGGAGATTTAACATGCACCTATACAGACACCAGATCATGCCAGTGTCCTTGCTGAGGCCCGATTCAGCACAACTTTTGTGCAGGCTTACCTTTGTGCATTTCAGTCCATGGATTTGGGGGTTTTCCTATCATTCTCTTAAGTGGTAGCAAACCAGTACTTCAATGCTACCTTCATTCCCTTACTTAAAATCCTTCTGGAGAGTTGTTTCCTCTACGATACCTATAGAAACAATAAGCCTAAAGAGTCTCTCGTTTATCTAAGATACTTCCACAGGAAAACACATCACCACCATTTCTCATGCACTATTATTAATTCTGAAGCTGCTGCCAGACTTCACTTTGCCCTACCTAAAAAAAGGTGCTAGTCCTACCATGACACCACACAGAGAGCCTGAAGAGGTACTGAGCGTGAGCTGTATTACAGAAACGACAACACGATGATTTTTATTTTTATATGGTGATGATTGTGCTATCTCTGCATGGGGAGGGATGTAACTCCTCTTTAGGAACTGTTATTATAACCAAAGTTACGCCTTCACACTGAACAGAGGGGCAAAGGCCTCTGTCGGGACTGACAATAGTCCATGTTTGTGCAGATATTCCCCAGCTGATTTCAGTAAGATAATGCCCCATTAAATCCACACCAGTATAGTGTCTATATACCATGACAATGCCTTATCTAAGGTTGCAAAACACACACACCACAGCCAAGGTGGCCACAATATAAGGAAACATCAATACTGCCAGATGGACAATAGCAGTAAGGGGAAAGACTCAATGAATGTCAAACACCTGGCTCACATCAAAAGCCTTCTACGCTGGAATCACTGCAATTCAAACTTTTACATGGGCTTCCAATGCTTTAGGGATTTCTCAAAAAGCACAGCTTCAGATCCGCACTTAGGACTGCAGAAAGGATGGAACAAGTACGGAATTGGAGGATGAAGTTCACCCTTTAGTTAATTTAGGCAGCATTAAGGCAGCCTCTGTGAGGGAAAACACAATCCAAACAGATATATCAAATGTTGATTATTCCTTACATATACCACATTTGCACTCGTACCACACAACTGATCATGCCTTAAGGTCACCCACATGCCTGGTGAAACAGAAGTTGACTTCTCTGACTGATTTTTGCATTGATCCAGATAGCGCCAGGACACAAGTCCAGTTCTTGCTACCATTCCCATCCACACAGCACAACATGCAGTCTAGGGACTCTACAGACCTACTTCCAAACCAGAGGACAATGTTTAAGCTCTGGGACTCCAGTTTCAAGAGTACTGTAACTCTGAGGCATGGACATACTGTTGAGAGTCACCAGGCCTGATTCAGACATCCACGAAGAGAGCAGCATAGCTGTTGTCCTACTCTTCTACACCTAGATTCCCTTCACAGGCACTGGAGAGAAATGGACACACTTAAGAATTTGACATGCCAAAAAAGTCTCCATCATACCAGAGGAGAATCCATTTGGGAATCAGTGTACTTCTTTTTAATTTTCATACAACATATTAAACCTGTATAACAAATTAAAATAATAAGAATCAGAAAAAAATGTTTTGAACTCAAAAATTAAAATGTTTTGAAAAGGTTTGAAAATAAAATATTGTCAGACTATTCCAATTTGGGAAAGGAAGACAAATATGTAAGATGTTGAATTCTCTCACAATTTAGGTGAAAACAAAAATCTGAATCTCTCAGTACAGAAATCCAGCAAATGCTAATGAACATGACATTAGCACTATATTAGTCCAACAGAGCACATGTGTGACAGAATAGGAGAGACAAGCAGTATCAGCTAGACTAGTCTGACTGTCCAAATCCAGCAGAGTAAAAAACAATCACGTATTTTTAGTGGGAAAACATGTGCTTAGGGAGGGTGTGCCAGACAGCCTAACATTCTTATTTATCCATATAAAAATTTTGTAAAGTCAGTGGATGTATAAAAAACCAAAACCATGCCACCAATATTGAACTATGCTTGAACCTGTAAAATTCCATCTCTGACATCTATTTACTTTCATAAAGACTAAAGATACAGAGCAAACATTCCTTGGTTCATCAGGAGTTTGGTTCAAAATGCAGTAATAATAATATTATTCACAATCGAGCATTAGTAAAAGAGCTTACAATGATCCCTGATTCAAGTAGACACAATTATGTCTGCAAAGGAACAACATAATTGAGAACAGTGTATTGTGCCATTGAGACCTAACTGTATTTTAATCTACCGATGAAATTACAACTCTGGAAACAGTGAGAAGAGGATGAAGCTGAAAACTAGCCAAAGCATGTGGGTGAAGCAGAGAGAGAGAGAGAGAGAGAGAGAGAAGAAAGAAAATGATGGCCAACTAATGCATGGCTGAGGGGAGGAAGGAAGAAGATACCTGTAGGCAGCACTAGGTGAGGAGAACTTTTCACTTTCTTCACAGGGATTATTTTAACGGCAGAAATAGAGCGTGTACATAAAGGGACATCAACAGCTGCAAACACAAAAGTGTAAATGGCACATCCGAAAAAGGAAGAACAGAGTTTGGGAAGCATGCCACAAAAATCTTCTAATGTACTTGGAGACACAACAGCAGGAAATTTCAAATACAAAAGCAGTCCAGAGAGCAGTGATGCAACTGTTAAAAATATCCCTTCATTCGCCCTAATTCAGAACATGTCTGTTTTATGTAGCATACAGAACTGCTTACTGAATTGACTAACTGCTGACTGCCACTATGCTGCAGGCAAAAAGAACCTGGAAGCATTAGTTTTTAGAAGCCATCAACAATATTTAGTATAATTATTTAGTAGAGATACACTACATGCAAAAATTAAAATGTTAACATTAATATGGCTCAGTTAAAACAAAAAGTGAAAACACAAGGATTGAAAGGTTGAAAGATGAACATTAAACTCGCCACATTACATGAATTCTGAATTTTATGGCACAGATTTTACAAGTTCAGCAACAGAAGAAAGTGAAACAGGAAATCATCTTGAAAATAGCCTCATGCCAAAGGGGAGCATCAAAATATCAATTTCAGAAAAAGTCCATCCATTTAAACAGTAAAGTGAAGAGATTTCCACTGGAATTCATCAGATAGCATACTAATGATATAGAAACATAAGGGAAAACCATACATAGCACTGTGAAAAATTATAGCAATTGTTACAAAACTGTCCAAATCAGCTGGTACTTCCTCTCTCCAACTCTGTATTGCACTTAATCATAGAATCATGGAATGGTTTGGGTTGGAAGGGACCTTCAAATCATCTAGTGCCAACTCCCCTGCCATGGGCAGGGACACCTTCCATTAGATCAGGTTGCTCAAAGCTCCATTCAACCTGTGGAACTCAAAAAACCCGAAACAAAACCCAAAACCAACAGAGGTGTGGCCATACAAAAAGGCAAAGGCAAAACTACTCAGAGTTGAAGCTCAACAGGATCTGCCAAGATAAAATCCTGTAAATCATGGCTCCATCAGATTAACTTGAGCTGCACTCTTGATTTCTGCAGAGTCAGGATTTTCTCCTTTAAACCTACCAGCTTTCTGTACATATTAACTAGAAAATGCTGGATGCCTCCTCACATTCCCCAACATCTCTCTCAGGCCTGCAAAATAAGGAGTAAGAGGAACCACATTTCTACACACCAATACTGAGCACCGGACCAGTCTGAGCCAGGCATTGACATCAGGGTGGTGTGTACACCCCCTCTTGTGGCAGATCTTTGTGGTCTCTGGCAAAACTGGAAAGCACAGACTTCACTAACCTAGAAAAGGCCTCTCAAGCAAAAGGATGGGGGGACAGCTTGATAGAATTTTTTCAAACCTCAAAATAATTAGTTTTCAATTTGATGGGATTGTTTTAAAATTTTTATAGAAGAGGAACCCAAATCAAACCCTGTTCTTCATGCTTCTGCCCAAGCACTGGAGACCCTGCCATAACAATAGATCCCAAATCCAAATGGCCTGTGGTTTAGGAAACAACCCTAATTCTGTTCTGTTCTTTAACTGACTGAATTCATCCATTCACAATGCAGTCAAAATACTAACCACTATAAAAAGGCATCAAAGGAAAAGAAAGGAAATGAAACCAACCTGTACAACCACATACTTTCACCCTGTCAAAACACACACCATCACTGTACAAAATTGAATGCTATAAAGCACACTGCAAACCTGTTAATTTGAAGACTGGTTTGTTTAGATAAGTTTGGGGTTTTAACTGTTGTTGCTAATGACAGATTTTTATATTTTCTTAATTACTTACTGTCCTTTAAACCTGGGCTCAAACCTTAACCATCCACTGAAGTTACTAGGATTCACACATAGGCACCCATAAACTCATGCTGTCTAAATACACCCAGATATTGATTCACAGGTGCTCACAAGTAGTGCACAGCTTTCCTCAGTACAGCACTAAAAATATACAGAGGCACATCCAGCCTGCCACCTTTAAGAGACAAAGAACACTTGTTGAGCTAAGAAATGTTGCTGCTGCTGGAACGGTGCACGCACAAGGCTTTTCTTGTATCAGTAGCCAAGTAAACTAAATTTGGAAACCCTGGCTGTAGTGAATGTCCGGGAAATTAACCACATCACGAAGCTGACATGCAGGGGGAGCTGCAGAGATGTCTCTGAAGCTCTTAACCCACCTTTTTCTTGTCCATTGCTGCTCAGCCCATTGACAACAGTTTTTGCAATATCAATTTCTTTGTGCTCTGTAAAACAAATGAAGAAGCAGATTATTTCTGGGTTAAAACCTCTGCAACTGAATTTAACCTCTGACTATAAGGTGATGCCACGGGTCAGCACTATTTGATTCATGAACTAGGAAGTATTCCTACTATCTCAGGAGATGTTGCTTGGAGAAACAAATCTCCTTTGGATGACACCACTGTTTCTCCTTTGCCTACCTGGATCACAGTCTGTTTTAAACAGGGACTGTCTCTGTCTGCTCATATGGCATCTAGTTCAGTGACAAGATTTTCAAGAGAGATTTTTCAAGTCTGTAACGTTCTCAACTGACATGAATAAAACTGGGTCTTGTGAATTCAGAGAAACACAGAAAACAGTGCTAGAAAGGACCTCCAAGGGTCATCTAAAGCCATATTCCTGATATATTGAATAATTCTACCTCTGTCTCTGATCACAAATGTTTGTCTAACAAGTTCTTACAAACTTCCAGTATCACCCTAAAGCAACCTGTTTCAGTGCTTCACAACCTCAAAATTTATCAATGCTTAAGCCAAATTCCCCAATCAGATTTTTCACACCCCAATTAGTCTCCGAGCTTTCCTCTAGACTTTCTCCAAATAGTTCACATTTTTCTCAAAATGTGGTGCTAAAACGTGGACACAATACTCCAGATAAGAATTGATAAGGTGCTAAAATCAAGTGGGAATATTATTCCATAGGTCCTACATATGGCACTTCAGTGTCAAAGTCTGCCTTTTTTTTTTTTTTTTTTTTTTTTCCCCGATCAGACTCCAGTAAGTGAAACTTCAAAATTAGAAGCTTTAATCCGGGGACCAAAGACAGTGAAATTTCCAACCCAAGAGAAAAACTACCAGATGGGGACCAGAGGAGAAAAAGTGAATTTTCATGGTCATGACAGTCTACAGAGGACAATTGTGGGGCCTTTTGCCCACTCCCATGGGGATGCGATATCTGTAGCAAATGAACAAATCTTAATGTCACACCACAGATGTTGGTTTCAATAGTCAAAGAGGAGTATTTTTAAAAAACAAATCCACATTTGCCAAGGTCTCTCAACTCTCTGAAGGTCCTAGGCTAAATTACAAATCTTTTAATTTTGTTTATCTTTCCACCCTGCAAAAGTTAGCACTAAAGAGAGTGTGAGACTAAAGAGATCAAGTGTGACTCCAGCCAATTAATGGTTTCTATGACACAAATAGGAAGCAGTATCTGAAGCTGCAAAATCATACATAAACAAAGACCCTAATTTGTGAAGTATAGAGGAAAATTGCTCAAAGAAACAAGAAACTGAAGAGGAGAGTTGGAGATACTTGCTTTCCTGTTACATGAACTGGAGGCAGTAGTGGGACATTTTAAGAGGTGGAAATTGCCCTCAGGGAATTGAATTTGTTCCCTTGCCTTAAACATCCCCATTCTTCATTAGCATTTGTTTCATACCAGCCAGAATATAATGGAGTATGTTCAATAGATACTCAAAAGAAAATTCAACAAGTAAATATAGTAACAGATCACTCTGTAAAACCAGCCAATATCTGGGCTCTCCAGCATGTCACCCTAGCAACAGGGGCCAACACTTAATTATTTAAATATTTTGTTAAAATAAGATAAACATTGTGGGTTGGTGAAGGCTCGGCAGAATACAGCCTACCTCCAAGCTGATCCCCAGTAAAACAATGTGAAGTGGATGGTGCAGTCTAAAACCAGTCCACAACAAAAGCTGAGCCCAACTTAAAGGTCTGCTGCCCGATAGCCTGCCTGTAGAGTATCTGCTTTTTGTTTCTACCATTTCATATTAGCAATAAGTACCCTGAAATAGTAATGGTTGATGCAGCCTGAAAATTTAGACAAATGTACTCAGTAATGATCTTTCTGATCTCCGCACATTCCATATACAGAAAGATGCCTTAGTTCAAGCAAAACAGAAAAAAAAAAACAGGCTAAAATGATAGGCTCTCCAGGGTAAGGAGGTTTGTAACAGTATCACCCTCTTCTACGGATGGAAAACTGTTACCAGTTAAACTCACTGGATAAATACAAGTCCCTCCATAGGGCAAGGAGAAAACTACAAGAAGATACAATACTACAGTAAGTCTCAGCTCAGCTTTATGATTAAAACCATTCTGAAACTGAGTAGTTTTGACTTAGTGCTGGCCTTCTCCTTGGGCTTCATGCAAGTCAACAGAAAGTTTCTTCTACTCCAAGCATCCCCAAAAGGTTGCATGCTTTCCTCTAGCATACAAAAAGGGCATGGAAAAAGAATAAATATAGTATATTACCTTTTAGGAGACAAAAGAGGAAATACTAGTTTATGTGCCTAAGCAAAACAGGGTCCACTGCTGCTATAATCCCAGAAAAACGTGGGTCCCCTTCCACGATGGCAGTATCCAAGCTATTAAACTTGTGACCCCATGCTTTATACTTTTTAAACTGTCTCATACCTGTTTAGAAACAGTGACATCACAACTGCTGTAAAACTCTGACTTCAGTGATGTCTTTTTGATTCAAGCATCTCAATATTGCTTACTGTACTGGCCTTCATTGCATTAAGAAAAGCATTAAGGAAATAATTCACACCAAAAACCCCACAATTATTTGGCCTTAAAAGAACAAATTATTTTTCACAAGAAGTGATTTGAAGTCAAAAATAAGGTGGTAACTAAAGAAGGTTTCTAAAATTAAATGGAGGAGGTGTACAAACTCATTAGACATAGATCTAGAAAAATTATTTTTTCACATATTCCTACACAGTAGCAATTATGGAATTTCAATTAAAATAACAAACATTGTGTCCACTTACTGTGAAACTAATCATCATTATTCAAGCACTCAATCGAACACATACTTGATGCAGGTTTCCATACACAGAATGGATTAGTGTGCTTGGAGTAAGCATAACCAATCCTGAGTGCCTGGGTTGGTGTAACTCCAGAAACTCCATTTAAAAGTTATTTTGATCAGTTGAGGATCTGCATACAGATTTGCTGCATGCAGGTAGAAATAACTGCTGTTTAGATTGAGGAAATTAAGGTTCATGTTTGGAGTTAAAACATGCTTGAGTCCCTTTTTGCACCAGGGCTACAGTTATTCTAACCGTCTCCCATGTGCTTAACCCAAACCACATACTGAAGTCCTATTAGGCCTATTTTAGCCCTAAGGCTGCTCTTGAGACCAGATACACAGTCAGCCAGATACCACATCTGGCTCCACCGTCCCAGTATAGCAAAGTGTTGCCCTCTGTAGCACTGGGGAAGGTACATGCTGTAAGTCAGTGTGCCATGAGCTTTTGGATGGTACATCCTTAGACAGAGCAGTCCCTGCCAGGCTGGCCAGACAGGCTGTCCATGGGCTGTGGGAGCAGGTGAATCTGGAAACATTTGCTGCACCCAGTTCCCCTTGAGACCTCCCTGTAGACATGGCCAAGCCATTCCTGTAGACAAGCAGTCAAGTACGCACAAGGAGCACTTCAGAAGGGAGGCTTTCGAAGGAAACCAAAAATTACATACCTTATGTTAATATCAAAATCAGAGAAACTGGTACTGCCAGATCAGGCAAAACAAAATAAATTTAATAATAATGAACAACAACCCCAAAACCCCCAAGTGTCTTCTTGCAGCTCCCTGCTCTATCCAGCTAGCCCTTGTCTCCTTGCCAGACTGGAATTCATGCCTTTCTCAAAATGTGACAGACATAGCAACAAAGGCTTCAAAGCTGCAGACATTCAAAACATAATGAAAGGCAATGAATTCCTCAGGGCATAAACCAGCAGCTGTAACCCTGAACATGCCAACGTCCATACATATCCACCAACTTCTTGACAGTTCGGTCATACCTCTAGACAGATGTTTAATGCTTCCTTCCTCCCTTTCACCCCCAGTACATTTTTTCCAAGGCTGCAGCTCCTTCCCTACTTGGTGTGGAAAAGAGAGCAGTGCATTTAGAAGCCTATTTAGGAGGAATGCAGATAAGTGGTAACTACTTCTGCACAGCAATCTCTGGATTATCTCACATGCTCTAAACATTCGAATACTCCCCTTACAATAGCAGGGGGTACAAACACCTCATTAATAGTCCTGAGCAAGGACACATGTCCTTAAATCACTGGTAAATCAGCTAAGAGTTGCAGGTGGTGGTTATTTTCTGTGGTCTAATGTGCATGTGGGAAAAAGTTATTTCCTTTTGGTTGCTCTCTCATTATTGTGGACAGCTCTGATTACTTGCATTGGATTTCATAAACAATTGCTAAACATGAGATAACCATTCAAAAACTACTGTGCAGGTCTGTTACATTCCTATTGCTTTGAATTTGATTTGAACTCCTGCTTTATCTTCTCAGTTCTGAGTTTTTTATATTTTCAAAGTTTTCTTTTCATATACAAGAGCTTTAAGTGTTTTGTGGCTGCACTTAAATGAAAAATCAATTTCTTATTTATATTAGTATAATCTAGAAGTTGAGACTTCTAGAAAAATGGCAGACTTTCAGACTTGAGGGATGATCATCAATCACAAAACTTTTCACCTGGTCAGGTCTCACACATCACAGACAGTACTCACTCATTTAGCCCCCAGCTCAGACCCTTCCTCACATTGCCACCAGCATCCCTGACCCAGGTGCTCTGCTCCACCAGCCATGCCTGCAATGTGGAGTCCCAAATCCAGGAAATGTGCAAAGAGCTGCACTGCAGCCAGTGCCTCCTACCAGGAGGTTCTCTACTTAAAGGAACTTGCTGGAAAGCACATCTCCTCTGTACTTCTCACTTTGTATCACATAAAATGTAGCAAGAAAAAAACAACTAGCATACAGTAGACCAGGAATCAGCTCTCTCTCCAAGTATTATTCTCTTATCCTGAAATACTGAAATATGTAATTTTTATTTTAAGGGTTAAAGAACATCCTGTCATTCCTTCAGAAGACATTATTCTCCTAAGAATAAATGTTGTGAGAAGACTATGAATAAGCAAGCAGTGCACACAGAAGAATGATACAATTCCGTACAAAAGAGTCTCCCCACGCTCTTCAGCGATTGTTAAGGCAGTAGAGAGGGAGCAGTGAAAGCTCACTAAATGAAACAAATGGCGGCATAGAACATGAGTTTGGATAAGGTGTTCTTATAAATAATTGAATTTACAGCTGTTAGAATGAAACACAGCACATTTCATATTGCTTTTTTTTTTTTTTTTAAATATGGTGCATATTTGTTTCCTTCCTAATGGGCAAAATTAAGTCAGCTGGGGCATATGTACCAGCTTTTGTGCAATTTTAAGAGGAAAGTGCCACTCAATAATAAAAGTCCAATAGGAAATGTAAACTAGGACATGTGGCTTTAAGAACTCAGAGATGCTTTTGAACTAAGTCATCCTACAGTCATCAACTTCAGAGTAAACAAAGTTTAGCTGTGACCTGAGCTAACTCAGTTCAAGGTCACCACTTTTGGAGCAGAGGGCAGAAAAGTATCTCCTGGGTCATCAGGCCTACGCCCATGCTATTGCAGGCAATTGTGTTATACAATCCTGTGCAAGAACATTTCACATTCTAGCTTAAAACTGGTAAGGTTTCTCGCTTTCACTGCTCCTCCTTGCAAGCCTGCTCCAGAGTTCATTCCACTTATGGCTTTTGAATGCTGTTTCTGATTTGCAACCTAAATTTAATTCATGAACAGCTACAGCTAAATTGTTTTGCTCCAACACAACTTCTCTGTCTAAGCAGCTCTCCCTCCTTGTGCTCATGGTCATCCATACATTTTTAGAAAGCGATTGCACCTCTGGGTCTTAATTTTGCAAGCCTGTAAACAAGTATTTCCAAAGCAATTGGTCTGCATGCTGTTACCCATCTCATTAAAATCTGGCAAATCACAGAAGATTTTAAAAGGCTGGCAGTACAAAGTCTAAACTCTGCTTAATGTCACAGAACCAGAAAGCAAAGCCTATAACTGACATGCCCAACAGCTGAAAAGCAAGGTTTAAAAGGTCAATCAGCTTTTTTGGTGCATTTTAATTCTGGCCCGTCTGCTAAAAACAATTCTACGGTCATTGCTAATTCAGATAGTGATTTGATGTCTACAGGGACCTCCCTGCAAAGAAGTAGAATGGAATAATTTCATATCAGCCACTAAACCTTTATTAAGTGACAATGATTTATACCTGCAGGGTTGTGGGGATGAAAGGTGGCTCCTGCTTGAGCCATCAACCTCCTGCTCTGCAACAGACACAGGGCTTGGAAAACAGTCGTCCAGAGGGTTGTCTGGCACAGAGCAGACAGAAGAGTAACTTGACATGCAGTGCATCACTGGTTCCCTCTGGATAAGTTAACTGCTCTTATCAGTAGCCTTACAGTCGAAAACATTTCTTCTCATGACAATAGATTTTAAGTACACTGTAACTAGGCTAGGACTTCCTTCTGAGTCTGTCATGACTGTCCTTTGGGTTTTTATGTGATGGCTTGAGGTCATGGTGACAGTATCTGGGGTCCATGTATTATTCATGTCTGCCAAAAAAACAAATGCCTCTGTGCCACACCCATACACCCAAGCAGCTCACATGAACATTTTAACATTTCAGAAAGAAAATTAAAAATTTCTAGGATATTTTTAAATAAAACCTTATATTCATCTTAGCAGGAGACACAAGCACAGCATGAGAACAGCAGCAGCTGAGATTTATTCTCAGATTTATCCGTGATACATATGCTAACACTTAATAGATGGAAGCACTTTACAAACAAGCTGATGTACATACTATACAAGGGAGCTCGCTGGGCACAGCTCTCTGGATGAAAACTCCAGAGGGAAAGCTGTAAATGATTTAACAGCATACCACAACCCGGGACAGTTCAGGACACTTAACTGAGAGTCATACAGGAATTTGGGAGCACGTTAACTATTGAAATTGGGATTTATTTACAGTTAAGGGGTAATTAATTCAATGACACCAGATTTACCTTTTTGCAAAAGGGCAATCTTTCAGACAATCTGCAATGACTGCACCTAGCCAAGAGGATGCTGGTTTTATACTTCAGCTGGAAGAAACAGATTAATTGAGTTCAAGCTGTTATGAGACGACTTGTAAGAACCGTGCAGCTGGGGTGCTCTGCGTGCTGCACTTAACTCTCTGTACACCTCTGATATGGGGCCACTTGTGCCTCTGCTGAACAATTGCTGTAAATAAACAGACCCAAATTCCAGAAGCCCTAATTATGTATAACAATGGATCCATTCAGCTGACTGCAGAATTGAGGGACACAAACACTACATTGCATTTACTACACTGAATAGCATTCTACAGATACAATCAATTAGATCATCTAAACAACAACCAGCAGCTTCTCTTGCATGATTTTGTATATACAAAGACTACAAAGGCTGTCTTCACCTCTGTCACACACTGTCAAACATAAGTAGTAAAGAGGAAGTTGCACTAAGTAGAAATACTAATTAGAGAGTGACTAATGTTACACAATTCAAATCCAGATTACAAACGAAAATGAGGGTAGAGAGAAGATTCTGATGCACCTCTGACATATAAACCAGATCCTTTAATGCTACAGACCACCTTATACCATCTCAAACGTATCCTGAGATTCCTAGCTGTGTAAGGCAGAGGAATTGCACAGGCATTAACGGGTGCTCATGGTGGCAACCACACCAAACGTTAATTTTTAATTATGATCTCTGCTAGCACTAGTTATTTTGAAGTTCTGCACAAACATGCACTAAGCAACAGCTAACCCTTTTCAAGGTATATAGGTGATATTCCCATTTCACAAGAGATGGAAGATTCAGGCCTCTATTTTGTGCAACATCTGAAATCAGCTAAGCTGGCACAGTGTAACAAGGTGCATGTATGCGTCTTACAGGTTGTTTTTTATAGTTTCAGAATAAGCAAAAACAGTTTGAAAGATGGTCACATTTACACACAACCACAACGACCTCCAGGGAACCACATAAAGCTAAGTCTAGCCAATGCATATGGGGATCTAGGCATACAATACTCCCAAAACACCTTTAACAAGCCTAGGAATGCAAGTTGAAATTAGACAGGGTCACTCTCCTTAGCCTTTGCCAACGTGAAGGTATTGCTACACTAGAAAAAACTGCCAGGGAACCAGTTCATCTACCTGAATGTCAGGCACTGAAGGGTCCCACTAAACTCAGACCAGACAGCTGGTCACTGTCACGCATCCAAGGCCAGACAGCAAACCTGTGCCTGCCAAGAAATTCAGGCTGGAGTGCTGGCTTGCTAGCCTTGTTGGACTGTGCTGCCTCTAAAGTCACCTACACACTGGTATGTAGAACACTGTGACTGCTCCTCTACTCAGTACTGAAAACACTCTGAGAAAACCAAACTCCTGGGTTAAGCAACAGTCTGACATTCAAAGTATCTCCAGTAATAGCAGAAAATTACATTTCAGAAGCCAGTCCTCACCTTCACTTCCCTCTGACTCCTCCAGCCTCAGGTGACCAAATTCCCATATTCCTGAGAACTCCACATCTATTCTCATCACTTTCATTTTAGCAACTGCCTCAGAATCAGCATTCAGGAATTGCTTTCAATCCCTCCTTCCCAAAAAACAGTCAGGAGAAAGATCCAGTTACTAGAGTAAGGAGGGAAGGACCTGCCCATTTCCCTTAATGATAACACAAACCCACGTAACGACAACCTTGATATCTTCTCTCTTTTCAAGCAACTAGAAATACGTATCCAAATGAAAGAAGCAATCTGAAAATCAGTGTGTACTGCCCCAACAGTCCTACCCACTCAGTGCACATTAGCATATGCCAGTGCCATGTAAAGTCCTAGGAGTTCATCTCACAGCAGCTCAGGAGAGCCAGCTTTGACTAACTGTGATTAAGAAACTTACCAGTGTCCTTACCTTAAGTCAGGCTTTTCAGTTAATGGTGCCATTTTCTCAGTCCCTTGATTTCACTCCATAAGAGGCATGAAAGAGTTAAGGAAACCCTTCACTGTGTTGCCCAGTCACTTGGCTGCTGAGGTGTAACAAGAAATTTGTGGAGGCATCGCTCTTTCTCTCTCTGGCACCCTTAAATACTTTGCTCCTCCTACTGCTGTGCTTTAATTAGCCAGCTGGTTCTTAGTCACCCCATCCTGTCACTAGGCTTGCTCACCATCAGCCACCCCCACCCAGCCTGCCTGTCACTCCCCTGCCACTGTCATCACGAAAGACACTGACTTTTCCTGCAGCTCTGGAGCTGGGGAAAGGAAAGCAAGAAAGTTTGGATGTGACACTCCATGGTAGCACAGGTATAGGACGCATTTCAGAACGGAAGTGACAGACAGACCTTGAAGAATATTAAACTACAGGGAAAGTACCTGAAAAAGCACCTTTTTTGGGTTTTGTTTTTGTTTTTTAAACCAGGCAGCATCTGCTTGTCAAGGAAGAAATATTTTCATTAGCACTGATATGGCGGATCCTATTTCAATGGATAGGAGCTAAAGGGGCAGCTAAAGCTTCTGCACTTGGAAGCTGAGATTGTTGCATAAATGCCTGTCATGACACAAAGGGAAACTAAGTGATTGCATGGCTATTGCATATGATATGCCCACTCCACGGACATCATCACAGACATAAAAGCAGCTTTTAAGCCACAAGCTGTACTAGGGTGTTCCTAGAGTAGAGTGCCCCCACCACAGTGCAGCCTGGCTCCCCTTTACACAGCTTAAGACCTGCACTGGAGTGGAAGTGGTGTCAGCCTTTAGAAGTGAGGGTATACTCACACATCGCCAGGCCTGGGCAGCCTGCTGGTAAGGAAGGTGAGTAGCAGCACAGGATCACCCTTCCTTCCACAGTAAATGTCTACAGAACAGCTGGGACCAAGACTTCCTGAAATGAGACCCTGGAGGCTGGTTCATGCAAGACCAAATGGTGACTTAATAGTAGAAATAATCTGAAAGAGACCCTTAAGTCTCTTGGTACTGTCCTTTGTCATCAGACTACAGCAACTTGTGCACCAAAGCACTTCTGGCTTTTGCAACTGACACTTCAGAGTATCTCTATCTGCAGCCTGCCTCTGGATTTTGATTCCTCAAATATGCATGTACAGGCACTGATTGCTGCCAAACTCACAGACTGAAAAAATGTACTGAAAATTATTGCAAGGCGAGCATCTCAGCATTCAAATAAGACCTAGAAAGCAATGCAGATGGCAAGACTTGCTGATTGCAGAAGGGAGTAGAGCAAAGGTTGCTGTGTGTGTCAGTGCTTACTCTAGCTGCAGATTCTTTTAGCAAGATGTTACTGAAGGACACAGAACAAAGGTCTCCAAATACGTACACACATAAACCCATACTGATGCACTGTGAAACACTGACTGAGGTTCTGTCAGCAACATAAGCTCTCCTTTTTCCTCCCCAATATACCTTTTAGCATCCTAATACTTAGCTCCTACCAAATGAGGCACTTAATTATTAGCCAATATAGGCACAGTTCTGCCTTGGTATATTGGCTAAAGGACTAGAAGAGGTTGGAAAATGTTGTTCTACCTTACTTCATTTAAGACCAATCCCATACCTCTGTGTGAACATGCCACTGGTAGTCCTAATTATAGCAGACAAAAGGCCCCTGAGCCCACATTCACTACCACATCCCAAAAGACAAATGCTGGGGAGCTTGCACCTGGGATTTTGGTTTCATTTACCCAAGCAGATATCAGAGACCATTTGCAAAATTCAGGTCTGGATCTAGGTTTAGAAGCCAACCCTTTTAAAAGTCAGGTGTATTTGGTTTAGGTGGAGGAGGAAGAGGATTATTTCAGACATACCGACATTCAGAATACAGGATAATGGAAAACACTGTGTTTTGAGTGGTCAGACTCAGCTGTCCTCTGTGCAAAAAAACCCAAACAAACCCCAAAACCCCCATGTTGTTCTCAAAAACAAACAAGGAAAGCCAACAAAAAAAGCTCACAACATTGTCCAAAATAAGCTGTGCAATCATCACGAGCTCCAATTACTTGAAACATACTTGTTTATACAACAGTATGCAACAGGAGACCTTCCTCACCACCAGAAGAAAACATCCTTGATCCCTTTCAAGTCTGTTGTGGGGCCTGGACCACATGAGAGTGTGTCAGCTGGAAGCCCTGCTTGATGTGTAGCAGGGGTTTATAAACAAGCCTCTGACAGTTTGTCTTCAGGTAATAAAGATAATTGCAATTAAAATGCTGAGAGTAGAAATCATACTGTAAAAATAACAGTGAGTTAATGAAAGAATGGCACCTAGGGAGAAGCAAATTAGGGAAGGATCCAGGGGCTGGCTCAAATTCAAACTTAGATAGGAAAGTTCAGATCAAGGATTGGGTCTCAAACACTTCTGGTCTTCGCAGGAACCAGCTTAGACAACTTTCAAAGAGCTTGGCAAGGAGTAAGGAGTTTCTGCTACAGAGATGCACTTGGATGGAAAATCGCATTTTCACAGAATTTGCTCTTCCACTTGGGTGAAGAGAGAACTGGGCAGCAAGCTTTCCACGGCTGCACAGCCACATAGCCCACATAGCTTGGTTGTTTCCAAAGTCAACCTTGAGTGAAGGTAAAAAGCTTTATGAAGTATTGCTGTTTAACCATCAACCCACAGTAATAGTGTACTGTACATTGCAGCACAATCACTGCTGTATTTTTCCCCCATAATACCCATGTCTTTGCAAAAGATACCATCACCATAACAGCTGAAGGAAATAGCAAAAGAGATGAAACATTTGCATAACAAAGGAAGTCTCTGACATAATGGGGCAGATACCAGTTCTGGGATATTGTGGACTACTGCTCTGGAAGCCACTGGACAAACCTAGTCTCATCATGTCTGTTTTGCTACAAAAGTCATAAACAAATCTTTTCACTGGAGGGAGTGGGTTGTTCCAGTTATAAGGTACCCTAGAAAGTTTGCTGCACAATCCATACAGCTTTTGTGTTTTGATAAATGTCACACAGCCATAGTATTTCCTTTATGCCATCCCAATATGCCATGAGGCTAGACTTTCCAGCAACCAGAAGAGGTCAAAGAGGTGCTGTGACGTGCAGTTTAGAAACGGAGGTACTTTGGATAGACCTGGGAGATGCTGAGCAAAAGTGATTGAGCTTACTTGATTCTGCAGACGGAGGAATGCAAGCAAACTTACAACATGCTCATGCGTTTAGTTCAGTTCCTTCTGAGTTCTAGGGTTTAAACTGCAAAAAAAACCGAAACTCAAACCCAACCACCTCAGCCAAAATAACATTCTGCTGCTAGACTTCCACCCAGTACCATGAATGAGAACAAAGCCATTCACCCAACATCCTCATCCTGCTGGGCTGGAGCTTCTGCTTTGCTACAGAACAGCCACCCAGGTTCTGGTTAGGGGAGTTTTACAGCACCCTCTCTGCTCTCAGAGATGAGCCCTAGCTTGCCCCAAAGCTCCCAACACCCAGATCCCCTTGGATGCCTCAGACCTGAGCCTGAACTCCGCAGCTCAGTTCTCCCCAGCTGGATGTTATGGGAACCAGTGTCCCCACAGAATGAAATACTGCTGCCAGCAGCCCCTACAACCTGCCAGGCAGCTTGGTGCAACTGCTCAAGGACTCAGGAAGCACTTACAGCTGAATCTGCATGGCATGAAGGGGTTCAGACTGTCACCAGAGATTGAGCAAAACTTCTTGTAAAGATGTATATGGACCTCTTAAGAGCTCTACATTAAGAACTTAATTTGCCAGTAGCAGCAAGTCTGCATGGCACAAGAAGTTAAGGGCTAGCAATATGCCCTCGTAACAATGTGTGTATGTCCTGGTTCAGCTAGGATAAGGTTAAGTTTCCCCAGCAGTGGGGAGGGAGCTGTAGCCAGGTTATTCAATACCATGCTGAAGTCAGGTCCAGACGCCCAAGTGCGGAAAAAGCAGGGACGGCTTTGGTTCGTCATCGCCACCCTTTGCTGCTCTATCCATGTGGTATACCTCTGTATATCTCTTGTCCTGTTCATTGTTACTACTGTTTATTGTTACTGCTATTGTTGTTGTTCAGTTTATTATTTCTTACACTGTTGTATTAAATCTTTCCTTATTTCCACCCCAGCGTTTGTATCTCACTCCCTGCCCCGTCAGGTCCAAGGGTGGGGGAGGGACGATGGAAATGTGGTCTCAGGTCCCGGCAGGGTCTAAACCACCTCAGTGTATTAGTTCAGTGAAAGCACATAACCTACTAAGTGTACAGAGAGAACATCACAGGCTAAAGACAAACTGATAGAAAATTTTTCTCAAACGGCTGAAAAAAAACAAATGCAGAATTTGTCTTCCTTGCTGAAGACTGAAGAGCTGTCCTAGTGTCCCTTCTGGCCTTTGGAGGTAAGAGATATGCTGTAGCCTGGTAATCTCTCATTTAATACAGAAAAAAAATACTACCTGGTAGGATCACGGTTTACCAGGACTTGGGATCTACAGCATCTTAAGGAATATTTCTGAGAGTCATGGCTCCTGCTGCTCTCGTCTTCTGACTGGAAAACTCAGCAGGAGTTGGAAAGCACTGCCTCACACAAACACACGCTGGGAGTGATCAGCTGTTCAGCAATCACCTGAGTAGCAGGTCTCCCAGCTCCCAGTGATCTGCCAACCTATTTAAACTCTCATGCATAAAAGAAAGTATAACCTTGCCCATCTACCTTGAACAGTTGCTGACCTTAGTCCAGGCAATTTTGTACAATTCAGGACCTGCTAAAAACAACACTGCAGGGAAAAACCTTAGGGTTCAGCTATGCTTACCCAAGTCCTAAGGAAATTAATGGCAGTTACAGCATGAAATCAACAAAACATGCATCCTCACCTGCACATAAGCATCGCCAGCCCTTTGTACCCTGTACTGCCACTTACACTCTGGCAAAATGGAAGCAAAACTTGCATACAGTTACTTGTGCCATATGTGCCAAACTGGGCTGTGAGACACAAGGATTATGCTCAGTGATGACTGGATTGTGTATGGCAGGAGAACCCAGGCTCTTTTCCTCCAGTACAGAAGACCACCAATGGCACTTCTTGTAACACATTTAGTTTAGGCTAGAGCCATACTTACTGATCCACCACATTCAGTGAAAGTCACTGCTGGCTGTGAAGGTAACAGAATATAGCCCAATCAATATTAAAAGCTTTTGTAATGGCACTAACTGTTTACCAGTGCTCTTAACCTTACTTTTGTGTTGTAGAGCTTAAATTAACCTTAAGGTATGGTCAGTACAAAATAATCTCCTATATGACATGCAAGGAAGCCGATTCTTGTAAAATTCTCTCATTTTTCTTCAGATTCAAAATATTGAGATATTTAGCATAATCTCTGTGTCAGCAGCCTAGTTTACTGTGTCTTCTAATGACAGTGATTTGGTAGGTTGTCGAGTGTAAAAAATGAGAGGTAGGACTGCAATAAAGAACTAGCAGAAATAACAAAAGCGACAAAGAAAATTCAGACTGTTCTCTCTCTCCATCTCACTGTTTTTCTGTAATACTTTTCCCTGCACCCTAATTGCTAAAGACAAGTGAATATCAAATCAGGCTACCCACAGCTCTGTTCTCCAGGAATAAAACTATAGAGCCAAAAGTAGCAACATGTCTTCCAGTAGACAAGCCTGGGTATTCATGGAAATTAAGTTCCAGCAATTCTGCTCAATGTACTTGCTGTGTGTGCCATTAATAAGTAGAGATCCAACCCAAAACACCAGGCTGAGGAGAAATTTGGATTTGCTTCTAACTTGGCCAGCTGGCTGTAATTATTAACCAGTTAGATTTTTAACTATGAAAGCTAATGAGAGAGTAATCATATCTCACAGTTCACAGCCGAAAGTCATTGCCTTTGGGACCTAATGAGGGTTTAAGCTCCCCCTTCTCATTGATTCCTCTCCCTCAAACTGTGGTTGCCACAGAGTTTTGAAGGCCTCACTGACTTTAAATCTGTCCTCTAAGGGCAACACTTGGGTAGAGGTGTATTGAGAGGAAACGTGCTTGAACCTCTTTTCAAGGAGACAAAGCTGATCCTCCCCCATCCCCTCCCACCACACCAAGATTTCTTGTCAGAGCAAAGAAGGCAACTGGATGACTGAGTAATGATAATGACTTCTGCTGAGTGTACTACTGGGCTCTGATTAGATTTTTCTTGGCTTATAACCAGATTAAAAAAACCCCAAACCAACACAAACATTAGCCATTTAGAGAGGCAGGACTGGCCTATTACCATCAGTACAGGGCTCAGTCAAGATGCTCCTCGGTCACTGTCTGTATCCAGAAAGTCCAGACCCTTCACTGTAGTGACTTGGAATGAAGTAAACAAAAATGTTGTCCATCATGCCATGAGCTACTCCATGACCCGATGTATCAAAAGTTCCTTATCCCAAAATACATAGCTCAACAAGCCTCATCCACCTCTGGAGGCCTGGAGGCGTTGAAGTTTTCACATCCTATACTAACTGCCCTGTGTTGAACAGGCAGGAGCTATGAATCTATGAGCAGACTGGGAAGACATTAAGGAACATTTGAAACATGCTGTCCCTTCCAGGATATTTGCCTCATCAACTCTCCATCTGTTCCCAAAAGTTCAATGGAAAAAATGAAAACTCCATCTTCCTGCTTTCTATAAACTCACTCTCACTGTTAACTGCTCTGGTTTCTGGCACAGTGCTGCACCATTTAAACCTCTTTTATAGTCCAAGATGGGCAGAGCTGGTGTGGAGCTGGTTGGAACCAAAATGATACTCTGGACAATGCCTTCCTCTGGAAGACATCCTTCTCTGTCCATGAGGGAATTAGTGAAAGGAGGACTCATTGCACCTTAGAGCACCCTGTCTGAGTAACCCTCAGCATGCACTTGAAGCTATGAATTCGGGAACTGAATAAGGCAGCAGCTATTGACCAGCCCTGGGAAATCTGGCCATCAGTGAGAATAGTAACTCTAGCAACCTCTTCAACAGTTCTCTGCACTCACCAAGGGCAGTTTTCCTCCTTTGCAAGAGAAACAGAGAGCCTCGTATCTACTTGGTAGTGTTTTCTGCACTTTGCCTCCCCCACCTATGACAGGCAAAAGGCATAGTCAAGATTTCCCCACTGTGCTTTCATAGACTTACTTTGTTTCCTGGTGCACTGGGTAGGTATTTTTCCCCCCTTTGTGCCTTTGGTCCAGCAGCTTGTCAGGGCTGGAACTGTTTGTCTCCACTGAGAGCCAGACACCTGGACTAAAGGTCTGAAGTAAATAGTTGATCTTCAGCATGCATTGCAGATCACGTTAAAAACAAACACAATGTCTTAATTAGATCTTAAGAACAAATGCAAAAAAGAGTGGTATATGAGCACTTCCCTGCATTCCCATGAGCCTCCAACAAAAGGAAAAGTCAGACTACAGCAAAGCAAGTATTTTCTCTCATATAAAAAGGTAATGTAAAAAGAGCCATTTAGAGCCCCACCTAACCTGAAATGGGTGCTATAAGAGTAAGTCATTCTCCTCCAAACTCCTATATGGGCTATCCAAGCCCTGGTACTCAGTGTTATGCACTCCTTGAAGCACACGTGCCATGCCTTGATGTCACTTGACAGCTAGTAGGATCAAGTGGGCATCGGGGGTAAAGGAAGAAGGAAAGGAGATATTATCACTTGGATGATGGCATAGGTCAGCTACAGAGCAAGCATGAAGCACTGCGACTCCCAGGAATGTCTCTGAGAATCAAGGCTTCTTGCATTGATCTGGAAACAGAACATGTCCCTGACTGCATCTTTCTGCCTGGAGGAGAACCAAGTACCACATTCCATTCTCTCTAAGCAGTCAAACTGAGGGGAAGGAGCTTTCCTCCCTTCAGCAGCCAAAGCACAGGATCATATTCAGGCCTGGTGTAAAACAGACATCTCTAGAAGAGACCAAGTAATTGTGCTAATTCAACAGCAGGGTCCATGTGATTTTGCTTATGAGGCAGCAGGAAGAGAATGACATAAAACTTAGCTTGATAAATCCCAAAAGTTTTTTCAGCTTCCTCTCCAACAGCCTGGATTTCATTCCTCAGAGAGGACTAGTTCATAAAAGACAGAGTGCAGTCAGGCTGACAAGCACCCCTGCATGTTCAGCATGCAAGAGACTAGCACAGCCTTACTGGAACAGCTGTGAAGGAGAGAGATATAAGGAATCCTTGAGAATCACAATGTCAGTATGGATGTCACTCGGGCATGGAAACAAACATCAGGTACAGTGTTATATGAGAAACAAGTTGACATGATCACACAGTGCTGAAATTTAAGACCAGTAGAGAATCTGCGCAGAGGAAAGGGAAGGAAAGAGACAGGAGAGACTGCTCCCCTGATGCTTTCAGCCTTTTCTGAAACAAAGAAAGAAGCCCAAAAGAATTGTATTTGCCATTTCTAGGATGCCAGAGGTTCAGTCTCCTGTAACTTCTGCTTTGACCTTTGCCTTCCTGAACACAAACAGGCTCTATATCAGAGACATCCTAATGGGAAAAAATGGTCTCAAGAGCTTGAGATGTGAGCCTCACTCAGTCTTTACCATATCTAAGTCTTCTTCTTCAGTGCAGAGTTCTCAAAGGCTGGGGTGCTTTTGCCTCAGGCAAGTAAGAATATCAAACCTTATCTCAGAACTGTCAAGTCTCTTTCAACCCAGGACTTAATCTTAGACCAAACAGTACCAAAGACCCCACACCATCCTCTCTAAAGAGAACAAATCAGCTTCACCAGTATTTGTAGCTGTCCTATCTGAAGCTACCATAAATCTAGCCCAGTAACCCCCTGGGGATCTGACCTTACCTTATGTCATCAACTTCATAATTTCCCCTAAACCTTGATCCCAGTCAAACTGCTCCTATCTGCTCTAAACCTACATCCAGTCACACATCCCAACACCCAGTTAAACCAAGCCCAATGGCCTCTTAGAGATGAGGCTAAACACTTTAATCCTTACCCTAAAATCTAACTGTCACTCCAATTCCAAAATCCCACTACCTCCATATGTTTCTGACCTAGACTGAGGCACAAAACAATTACTGGCACTAGCATCAAATTAAACAGAAAATGATGTCACAAATTCAGATACTAAACAAGGAATACATATGATGGCAGCAAAGCTGAATTTAATTCTTGCTGGGTCTGTTAGTTTTATCTAATACATCCATGATTCACCACAAAAATAGCACTTGGAGCTTGATCCTCTTTCAAGGACTGGAGCTTACCTACCAAAACCCCACATAACACAGTGGTGCTCTCATCAACATGTAGCTTTCTGCTGCACAACCCAGGTAGACTGCTACAAGGAAGAAAAACTCCTTCACTGCACATGATAGAGATAGATGCGATTTTGGTGCCCCAAGTCAGGATGAGGTCTCCCAGTGACATGCTCCTTCCCTTCCCCTTCAGGGTACTCACGCCAGTCAGCTGGCTGAACACTTCAGGCACAGCTTAGAAGGACAGGATTCTCAGACAGCAACTTCCACTCCCTCTTCTCTTCACATGCAACTGCTATGTAACAGCACATACCTACAAAAGTCAGAGGAAGAAAATGCTATAAGTGCCCCTAGTCCTTCTGTCCAACAAAATTACCAAGAGGGCTGTACCAAAGCAATTGGCCATTCACAGAAATAACGTTAATTTTAGATGAAGCAATTCCCTCTGCTTACCATGCAGGAAACATAGTATAAACAGCGGTCTGACCAGATTCACATCCTAGCATCCCCTATGTGAGAACCGACATTTATGGTTGTCTCCAGGGAAGGCTGAAACCACATCCGTTTTCCTGCCTTTCTGTTAGAGATTCCCCCCCAAGTAGCAAGGACAACTGAATAGCAGAAATACTCACAACTCCCTGCAACCTACAGTCTCTTTAGTAATGTAAATCACTGCTGATTTCAGCTTCATTTAGTATACTGGTTTGCAAAATGCAAAAAGAAGAAAAGTGAATACACATCTCATGCAGCTATCCTTGATGCAAGAATGGGTTTGTCCAACACAAAGACTGGGCTGGGAGCTAGGGTTAACAGCAGCCATTAAATGTAACTCCCTGCTGTCAGGAATAAAAACCCTCAGAAGGAAGGGCATGTAGTAGACATATACTAAGAAACATACATCAGGTTGTCTTCAGACAAATTCCTTGATTAGGGTACACAGCTAGACAGACAGCCACAGAGGTAGAATTCACAGAGGACAATTTTTTTTTTTTTAATGCATTGATCTGTGACTATTTAACTGTAGTCCAATATTGTCTAGATGGTTAGATTTTACACTGATTTGATAGATGGCTGTGCAGCTTTATTGTTTCACTCAATAACATTAACAGCAGCTTGGCTTTAGTGAGCTGCCTTTGCAGTTTGATTTATAAGGTAAGAATTGACACCCCTCAACTTTAATCATGTAATTTATCAGGCTGAACTAGTCAGCCAGTCACCCTAAGCTTCTTCTGTACTGAGTGGAGAGAGAGGTTATTCCAGAGGGCAACCCAGCCTCTCTCTACAGCACCTTCTTCATACTTCTCTGTATCCAACAGCTTTAAAGAGAACTTGGGAGACCAACTAGCAAAGCTTCATGCTTATGCTGGATGACTGACCAAACACTTACGTTGGTTTTATACAAGCTCTGTGGGGGGTAGAGTCACATTTCTTTCAACAAGCAATGCAAGACCAGAACCTCCAGGGGCCTTGTACAACCAGCCATACAACCATGGGGCATAAACATGACATGGAGAAAATATAAGGTGAGGCTCAGAGGTAGAAACTCTCACAGAGAAAACTCACAGAGTATCAGGGACCTTTCCTGGGAGCCATCTTAGAGCACACTCACAAAGCTCCAAATAACATGCTGTTTTCACAAGCCCCAAGACTTCTTTTAAGACCTGCTAATATCCCAAACCATGAACCTAGAAGAACCAGGCTAGTTTTTCTATAAAACTAGAATAGCCCTAAGAAAACAGAAGTTGAAACAAATTAGACTGTTCTGTCCTGGACAGTCTAGTAGTTTCTCCATCTCTGACAAGTACAAAAGGGTCAGTGAAAGACTCACATTTGAAAGGCTTGTTGCTAGTACTGGGAAGAAAATTTCCTATAAAGATGTCTAGAGTATGCACCAAGAAAGAGTTAATATTCCAGTGGCAAGGTCAAGGCCTGGTTTTGCTGCAACACAAGAAGCTGACATGCTGGCATTAACTACAGTTTGCTTTCCCAACCTGCCCTGTCCTTGCAAGTTGGCAAAAAGCTGAAGCTGACCAGAGTCCCAGCTACCAAAAGCTGCCCAAAACAGAGAACTTGTTACTCATCACAAGGACTAAGAGATAGGTTGAGAGGGGGAGTAGAGTAAATGGCATGAAAAGCAACTGATAGAAACTCCTCCGGTGCTAAGCATTGTTACAAGTAAGGCTCTAGCCTGGCACATAGCCAGGGAGTGCAGCAAGACATGGGAGCATGGATGCAGGTTATGGCTGCTCTGTGCCCCAATCTAGAAGAGATAGCTAAATATTCAAACTTTCCCATTGGAAATATGCCCTGCATTAGCTCCTGGAGGACCATAAGAAGCTATTTCTGGTGAAAAATCAATTCAGGATTCACTTTGGATGAATTTTGTGCCCACTGCTGTTAGTGACAAAACTTCCCTTCCTGTCAGTGGCAGCAAAATTAGGGCAGCTGACAGTGTCAAGAGATGACAAACATTGTCAAAAAGTTTTCAACGTTATTTAATTTAAATTTTATTAGTCTTCAGCTGTGTTCTGACTATCTGCTGTTAGTTTGATTTCCACTGTAAAAGAAAAGTCTGCTGAAAGAGTTTCCACTGAATAATGCAAAAGGTACTTGAACTCTTCCTGCACAAGCAGCAGCCAGCACACCAGGCCCCTGATGGTGACTGAACTGCTCAGCGAGCTACAAAAAGCAGCATATAACCAGATCAGTGCTCACTCAATGAGTGCTGAAATCAAGCAAACTGAGGAGAAAACAAAAAATCACCAGAAACCCAGAAAAACCTCACCATGCTGCTGGTAAGGAGGTTTCCTGTGAGGTGGTTGGTTTGTTTTTAAGTAGGGCTTTCCCAAACTCTAGACACTCCTTGAGTTCAGAATGTTCAAAACCACAGCCAAATAAATCACTGTGGCTCAGGGAGAACTACAGTCTATGTAGTTCTGATGCATCAAGCTACGGCCTCAGTCTGTCCTGGTACACAAACTTGCCATAAGGGGCTTTTCAGAACGACATGGGAAGGGAATAGTAGGAACAAGATGGGGATGAACATAAAGTACGAAAGTACCAAGGTCCACGTTTTTACAGATGTTTCTGAAGGCTGCTCTGTTCATGCTGAGGGCTGATACAGTGACAATACTACAGTAGTGCAGAATCTAGCTATCCAGCTCCTTCTTCCTTTCTCAGATCAACAGCCAGTAACCTGGAACTTCTTAAAAGGGCTGGACATGGGCCACACTCAAACCACATCCTCACGGAGAAAGGAATGCTGCCAAAAACAAAAAGGAGAGGTGAGAAACAGGAGAAAATTCCCTGTCACAGGCAGTGGCCAAGCATGATCCAGTAAGATAAGTCTATGTGTACACTTGTGAGCCCCATTAAGAGCAGCTAGTCACAACTAACCCACTGTAGATGTGGTCATCAGCTCAGCACGCTACTATTCTTGCATTAATTTTCCACACTTCACAGCTTGATCTCACACACAACTAAGCAAACGGCACAGCTTCCAGTACCCCCATAGACAGCAATAGAAAACACTGTCCAAGTGATCTCATACCTGAACACGACAGGAGGGCAGCAGACACACACAAAGCCTTGAGCTCAAGAACTAGAAGTGCCAAGCAAAAGAAACATAGGAGTTTCATGTTGTTTTCAAGGTAAAAAGAGAAAGGAGCCAACCCTGCTTGACTTCATCATGTTGTTTGTACAGCACCATGTGCTTTGGGTGCCGAGCTGCAAAATCAAAGCAAGTACAACGGCAATGAAAACAATCAAGCACATCAGTGTGGGGTCAGCTTTGCAACAGGAAAGCAAAGGGTTGGAAAGAAAAAAAACCTCACCAAACTACCCAGATCTAAAGGCCATTTAGAAAACAACAATTTAAGCAGCTCTGTAAGACTACCAGGATAAAAATATTATTATTTTGCCATTGTCCACATCGGAACAGGCAGCCCCTTTTCCAAGGAGTTTAAATGCACAAGACAGATGAAGGGGAAACAGATGCATGGACAAGAAGTGATTTGACCTGACCACGTAACACCAGGATCAGTGCCAGGAACAAACTGTAGCTCCCCCTTTCCTAGCACAATGCTCTTTTCACTGTTCTGTACTGCCTCTAAGGCTGGAAATCGACACCCATCTTTTGAAGGTGTTCCCATTGAAAACTGCTTGTCACCATCCCACCTGCTGGAGTTTACCACTCCCCACAGCGTTGGCAGCAGAAGTGTCCATGTGAGCACTCCATAATCTGCAGAAAGCAGAATCCACCGAATTAAACTGAACAACCAGTGAAGATAAATTAAGCTCATCTATTCTAGCTTAGTAAGTATCAAATACAACAAAAATGCCATCCTCATCTAGTGCAGCAAAGATCAGATTCTGGTAACATTTTTGCTAATAACAATTAATAATAATACTGAGAATCAGCCTGTTATTGATAAGCCATCTCTAACATTATAGGCTTTTGGATAGTCTATTAGATTTCACCAAACAATTTGTCTATATGCGCTCTATATGGACTGCTTAGGTACTCATGGCCAGAGTTCAGCCTGTGTCTATGGACTGGAATGACTCAGAGAGTATTCCTTTGGGCCAACGGGAAGAGTGAAGACAACAGTAATGCTGTTACTAATATACATGCCGGGCCAAATCCTGCAAAATCATGTGATTCCCAGTGAAATCAACAAAAGAGGTGCAAGTAGGGTAGATCTTGATCTCTAAAAACTGGTTTAGATTTTCTCCAATATAAAAATGAACTATTCTGACAGACCTTTCATTTTAGGAGATTATGTAAACCAGTAGCTTTCCTCACCTACTGCTCAACAAACATGAGCCATATAGTATGTGATCTCCAAATGCAAACTCTTCACATGGACTACTTGGGTTCAACTCTGTTGAGAAAACACTGTTAGTACATAACAGATTAACTCAAGCTGCCTGCTCAAAAGAAGCAACTCTTGGCTACTGCTGAAATTCCTCTTTAAGATTGTTCAGCCTGCGATCAAAAGTCTGCTTTTACCTGCCCAAATGAGTCAGCAAAATCCATTTCCCCTCTCCTCCAATGCAGTGCAGGCAACATACTGCTTCACAGACAGGCAGCGCACCCTGTCTGGCAGCAGTGCGCCCCTCTCTGCTCAAGTGCGGATGTCTTTTTGGTTGGGCATACCAGCAGGCAGCATGCCAAAAGCACTTTGCAGAGAAGGAGTGCTCAGTAGCAGCTAATATACACCAGTAAGGAATACAATAATGCAGCCTTCCCAAAAACCAAACACATAGTCATGCAGGAAGCTGGAGAGAATGGTTTAAGAACACATCTGCATG